GGCTATGTGGGAGTCCAGCGACATAGCCATTACGCTAACTGCTGGTCCCAATAATTATTTTCTTTATTTAATTTTATTATTTTTAATTTGAATGGGAGTGTGAGCCAGAAAGCAAGCCACCAGGTCCAGGACTTGAACTGCAATTGGCCATGTGACAGTCCAGGCCCTTAACCACCACACCACCTGCTGGCCCCACCACTATGTTCTTTTAATAAGTAGGATACTAACAGAAGAGAGACACTGTTTATTACTCTGTGTTTTAGATTCTAGTCTCTTCCCCCACCCAAGTTTTTTCGTTTTTGTTATAGGGTAGATGTACTTGCTAGAGAGAGAGACAGACAATGAGAGACAAATCACCCCCCCCCCCAGGGGGGAATGGCCATAAAATCTCTTTTCCATTCTCCTCTTAGGCTTTTTTTTTTTTTTTGAGAGGTTTTTTGCTATAGGGCACGTGCGCTCGCCAGACACAGAGAGAGAGACGTAGAGACAGAAAGCAAGAAATCACCCCCCAGGGGGGATGGTCACGCCGCAATCCCTTCTCCTCCATTCTTCTCTTGGGATCTTGGGCATGCACGCACACACGCCCGGCGTGAGTTTTAAGCCACCGGGTCTGGGACATGAACCATGGTCGACTACGTGGGAATCCAGTGACATAGCCATTACGCTAACTGCTGGTTCCCTCCTCTTAGGCTTTTGGGCACGCATGGCCTGCGTGTTTTTCAAGCCACTCAGTCCAGGACTCAAACAGCAAAGTAGCTGTGTGGGATCAAGCGCCTTAACCTCCATGGTACCTGCTGGCCTAGTCTCCTTTTTTAGGAACATTACAGCCTGAGACAATTATAAAAAATGGAAAAATAATATCTGAACAGTAGTGGCCATCTGACAGTCTAAACTACCGAAGTCTTTGGCTCGGGCAACTGACTCCTTTCTTCAAGGGCATATACTGACTTGTTCTTTTTTCCCTAGCCTGAATTGACATCAACTCCCAATTTTGTGGTTGAAGTTATAAAGAATGATGGCAAGAAAGCCCTTGTGCTGGACTGTCACTATCCAGAGGACGAGGTATGTGGGATACAGTGCTAGCCCATTGGCATCCCTAAGGACAAGGTACCAGAGACCTTCCTGGTCTCTTTTTTCAGATAACCTGACAAGACTTTTCTGGCTTAAACCAACAAAGCAGGGGAAGAGTTGGGGGGAGGGGGAAACACCATTACAACCAGGTGTGTGTCAAGGTGTAAATAAGCCCTTTTCTTTGCATGAGTCTGTTTTGCCCTGGAAAACCCTTCAGTTCCCCCAGGTACTGTTTTTTCCCCCTCAGGTTGGACAAGAAGAGGAGGCTGAAAGTGACATTTTCTCCATCAGGGAAGTTAGCTTCCAAACCAGTGGCGAGTCTGAATGGAAGGACACTAATTATACACTCAACACAGATTCCCTGGACTGGGTGAGTACTTAAAAAGATGGTGCTCTTGGTGTTGCAAAGGAAGGGTCCTAGTTCAAGGGCAAAAGCATTTTAGTCAATAAGCATTATAATTACAGACTTCAAAAATTAGTAAATTTTTTCTTTGCAGGCTTTGTACGACCACCTAATGGATTTCCTTGCGGACCGAGGAGTAGACAATACTTTTGCAGATGAGTTGGTGGAACTCAGCACGGCCCTAGAGCACCAAGAGTATATTACTTTTCTTGAAGATCTCAAAAGTTTTGTTAAGAGCCAGTAAAGCAGAGACACTGAAAGCCTCAATTTATGGCAGGCTTCAGCCAGTGAACAAAACCTACTCTGATGCCAGACGCGTGCTTTGAAGTTACTAAATATCATGGGAAGAAAGAGCAAATTTAAATTATTTCCTGCTGCATTCTTATTTACAATTCATTTGTTTTTCTGTATAAATCTATTATTTCTAGATTTTTGTATGACAATGATGGACAATAAAATTGGTTTATCTCCTCCAAGGATAGGTTCTTTTCTATCTCTGTACCATCTCCTTCAGCCTATACCACAAAATACCAACAGCAGAGATGTTTGAAAAGTTTTTTTTTTTTTTAATACAAAACAGATTATATAGGTTTATATACACAAAGCTCCTGAGGGGGAATGGATTGTTTTCAGCCCAGTAGGTGAAGTCCATGCTAGTTCTAGATGATCACAGCCCAAGTATCACAAGCCTGAATATAAAGAGAAAAAAAGTTTGCTTAAGGTGTATTTTATCTAGTCATACAGTTTTCTTGATGTGCAGTTAAAAGCTGATGGGACCAGCAGATGGCATGGCTACGTCAGCGGACTCCCACATGGCTGACCGCAGTTCGAGTCCTAGACCCGGCAGCTTGAAACTTAGGCTGGGTGTGTGTACATGCATGTTTGAGATACTGGGAGAAGAAGGGATTGTGGCATAGCTGTTCCCCTGAGGGGAAATTTCTCACTTTGTCTCTGTCTCTCTGGCAAGCGCAGGCACCCTACAGCAAAAATCTTTCAAGAAACAAAAAAAGTTGAAATCACCAATTTAAACTACAATTAGAGTTCTTACACATTAGGTCATGCTGAGTTCAGTTCCTATTTTTTTTTTAATTTATTATTGAAGTTTGCTATTGGGCACATGTACTTTACAGAAAGGCAAAGTGAGAAAGCAAGCCACCAGGTCTAGGACTCAAACTGTGGTAAGCCATGTGGGAGTCTGGGTCTTTGACCATGCTACCTGCTGGCCCCAGGTTCAGTTACTATTAAGAACTAGGTCAGTGGAGTAGTTTGTCCAAAGGCCACTTATGACCTCTGCTCTTAGGCTTTGCTAGATTTCTGCCCTACAGCCTTCTAATGACTATCTTGGGTACCACCAGCAGCAATGTGGTTGTCAAGATCAAATTCTGGAGACAACTAATCAAATAGTCTCACCCTCAGGAAGCCAATGACCAGGAACATTTTTAATACTCTTAAGAGCTTGGAGTTTTCACAGCCTGCAGGGGGTGAGTCTTCCATTTCAATACAAGAGTCAACCAGGCATGAGTCACGGGAGGGAGATATGAATCAGTGCTCACTAGGCAGAAATGGCTTGAAGGCCCTTAATCCTACCATATCTTACCTTGATCCTCCTTAAGACTGGTAAGCACCTATGAGTGTAAAACCAGCTCCTGATTCCTTGAGGGCTCGGCCTCACACTATTGTCCTTAACCTTGACTCTTTCTACTTCCATAGACAATATATTTGGCTTTCTCTGAAAGACACAGACCTGCTGACAGATGGTTTAGCACATTTCCATTCCTATGACCACCCTCAGACCACTGTCCCATCTTGGATATTACAGGTCCTTGTTACATATCAGCACCTTTCACAACCCACACCTATCTTCCACCTTGTCTCCAACATTGCTGTTGAAGGGATGAACTCACTAGATCTTAACAGACCTTGATTTTTCCTTACTGGAAACCAAAAGTCTAGTACATGGGAACTTGAGAGCATTCCTAATGTCTACCTTTCAAAATGTTGAACTTGGGTCAGCAGGTAGCATGGAAATTAAGGCACTGGACACCACATGGCCAACTGCTTAGTTCAAATCCTGAAACTGAGGGTGTAAAAACCATTCAGGGCACATGTGTGCACACCCAAGATCCAAGAGACGGGACTGTGGCATGGCTATCCATCCTCGGAGGTGACTTCTCAGTGTCTGTCACTGACAAGTACATGTGCCCTATAGCAAAAATAAAACAAATCTCTGGGAGCCTGGTGTGTTCAATTTTGTCCCTCTTTCTGTTCCTCATCTTTGCTGTGGCCAGCCTTACCAAACTAGCATCTCCCTGCCCACCCTGGTGCCAGCATCGTCGATGATGTTTCCCTAAGACTGCTGCTGCCTCCCACAGCACTGACCCCTACACCTCCCTATCCCCTAGGCTCACTGCTGTTCTGAGCTGCAGAACACTGAAGGTCAGGTGAGTATGCTGCCCCTCAGGAAAATGCTCAGCAATTACGCAATCCTTCCTATTGCTGTAATTCCCTTTGCCATCCCTTTCAGTACTTGGTCTGAAACTCATTTAAGGAGCTCCACACAAGGAGTTCTAGTTCTGCTACCACTGTAACCTGTACAGGTGACTCTGTTCGCCTTACTCCAAAGGTCGAAGGCATCCACCCTGTACCTTGTCAGCTCATTCATATACTAAACTCATCTGTACAAACATATTAAATACCTATATATGTGCCAAGCACTAGTAATAAAATTAAATGTATGGTTGTCCTCAAGGACAGACATGAACAAGTAACTGCAACACTGTTTTAGGAAACATGACATCAGGTTCAGTGGAAGTTGGAGGGGTCAGAGGAGATTGGCCAATCGTATGTGAGTGGTCAGGTTTTATAAAGTATCCGGCTACTGCACTCAAAAAACACATTTGGGCAATTGCTCAGTGTGCAAAACACAATTGCACATTCATGCAAATGATCCTTGAGTGGAGTGGAAGGAATCAAAGGCATTCAAAACAGAAGACCAAGAGCACAGAGGCCTGAGAAGCACTAACATATTTGAGAATCTGTAGGCAGTTCTGGCTGGCTGGAGCGGATGGGTACATATACCTGTAGCCAACAGGAGGCAGTGATGGGTTTTATGTAAATTATTGTGTATCCTTCCATGCAATCTGAAGGAAAATAAGGTCCTTTCACTAAGACCCAAGCTTAGAGCCTGAAATAGCAGCAATGGAAGCAGAGAGACCTGGGATCCAACACCAGCCCTATCTTTTCATTAGCAATGCAGTTTTGAACAAATTACTTCACTTATCTGAACGTGTTTCCTATTCTAACAAAACTATCTTCTTCCCCTCATGAACCCAATGCTCCAGCTAAGCAGCAAGTGCTATTTTTGTATATGCTCCACACTTTTCTGCCTCTTTACCTTGTTCTTATGTATAAAGACCTTCCACTTGGGACCAGCAGATGGCATAATGGTTAAGTCTGGACTCCCACATGGCTGACCGCAGTTTGAGTCCTGGACTCAGAGGCTTGAAACTCATGCTAAGTGCATGTGCGTGCCTGCTCAAAATCCAGAGAGGAGAATAGATAAAGGATTGCAGCGTGGCAATGCTCTCAGGGGATGATTTCTCATTCTCTGTCTCTGTCTCTCTGGTGAGCACACATGCCCTATAGCAAAAACAAACAAACAAAAACAACTCTAAAAATAAATACATTTAAAAAATGAGTAGAATTCAATACCTTATGGTAGAAATTTGATAAAGGTGAAATGCTTGCTGTGTTACTAGGCAATACTGCTTAAAATTAATACAACTCCTATGGTAAACTGAATTTGAAATGAGAGGGCCATGAAGGAACTTTAAGTACCCAGTAGGAAGCCATGGTTTTGGAAGTCCTGAAGTCTAGTGTGTTTATAATCCCACAGTTTGCCTTGTCTAGAACCTGACAACTGTAATATAAATTATTACATGAGGATTTCAAAAAGTTGGTGGAAAGTGCATATTATTAAAAAACTATTTCAAAATTATTTCTAGCAAAATAAAGCCCTCATATATATATTAGATTGATATCTTTATAAGACATACTAGGTCCTATAGCAAGCTTAAGGTTTCTCACACAGATGGCTCCTATACCCACTTATGTGGTCCTGTTCCTCACACCTGAGTCATCATGCAGAGGGCTGAGTCTAACCCTTGGGCTTCTGTAAAGACTCTCTCTGCCAGAAAAGCCTGATGCTCCCTACTGTGCCCCTTTTCCTGTATTCTTCTGCAAAAGTGATTGCCAGGAAGGCCTTTCTGGATCTTATGGCTATGAACCCAAGACTACTGCTGCCAGTCCAACCAGAACAGGCCATGCAGTCAGGTTTCCCAATTCCAAGACCAATCAATGCTCCTGCCATAATCCCCTGCTGCTTCTCTCTTCCTCTTTCAGAAATGATTGGACTTTTAATTGAAGAGACTTGTGAACGTCACTCTTCTATGCAAATAAATTCCTCAGAGAATAAACTGCATAAACTTACCTGTTTCTTTTTTGAGAGATTTTTGCTATAGGGCGTGTGCGCTCGCCAGACAGACAGAGAGAGACAGAGAGACAGAAAGCGAGAAATCACCCCCCAGGGGGGATGATCACACCGCAATCCCTTCTCCTCCATTCTCCTCTCGGGATATTGGGCATGCACGCACACGCGAACGGTGTGAGTTTAAGCCACTGGGTCCGGGACTCGAACCGCGGTCAACTACGTGGGAGTCCAGCGACATAGCCATTACGCTAACTGCTGGTCCCAACTTACCTGTTTCTAAGTCATTATTTCATTAATGGCTGGGAATAAAACCAACTACTGACCCACTCTTACCACAGGCTGGCTCCCATGAGAGGCTTACCAGACAGCTCATGAGAAGACTGGACTTTTCCTCTGTTCCTTCGGTGACTGAAAATGTAGGTGTGTGAGGACAATGGGTGCTGTGTTCATTTATACGATCCTCTAAACAGGCACGAAGCCTCTGCTCTGTCAAGTCTGGACACTAAAACATAAAATCGTTCAAACACAACCTTATCTCAGTTATTTAGTAGTCCACAGGTTGACAATCCTGATTTCTCATGCCAACCAACATAACTCTGGCTCAGTGTAATGGCTTGATAACTTGGGAGGCTGTTTTTGTTGTTGTCTTGGAGAGGTTTTTGCTGTAGGGCATGTACGCTCACCAGAAAGATAGAGAGACAGAAAAGTCGAGAAATCCCCCACGAGGGGGGAGAGCCACGCTGCAATCCCTTTTCCATTCTCCTCTCGGGATCTTGGGCATGCACGCACACACACCCGGCATGAGTTTAAGCCACAAGGTCCAAGACTCGAACCGCGGTCAACTACATAGGAGTCCAGCAACATAGCCATTATGCCAAGTTGCTGGTCCCAGTAACTTGGAATTTTAAAGACACTCTCAGGCTCATGATTGTACAAAGATCTCTTAACCAATCTCCATTTAACCTCCTCTCCAGATTAACCAATGCTTTTCATTCCTTTTAAAACACACTGACCGCCACTCATGGCACAAAGAACAGCAGAGCTAGCATGTTACTTTCTAGCCTCACTTTGCTTCTACCCCCACCATCTGAGCACATCCTTACCAAGCACCAGCGGAGTTTTTCTCCCATATCTGTTCATGAGTTCCTTAATGATGGAGATATTTTCTGAAAAATACATCCTTAGGTAATTTCTAAGTTGTGCGAATATCATGGACTGTACTTACACAAAGCTGGATGATACAGCCTATCACACACCTAGGCTAGCCTGTATGCTCCTTATGAGGCCGCAATCATACATGTGGTCGGTCACTCATTGACTGAAACATCGTTGCAGCCACATGACTGCACACATTATGTAAATGATACAGGGGAATGAAAATAATGTTTGTTTTTATAATAATAAGCAGAAAGTTTAGGAAACACTAAAAAAGAGGAGTGCCTTAAAAATAAAAAAGAGCTGTTGAATTAAGTAAAGATGAGGAGGAAAAAGCCCTAAATTTATATACTCACCCTCTTGATTCAATTTATAGAAATGAAACTAGAATCGGGGCCGGCAGGTTGGCTTAGTGGTTAAGGGCACTGGACTCCCACAGGTTCAAATCTCGGACCTGGCAGCTTGCCTTCTTACTTTCTCTCTCTCTCCCTATCTATCTAACTCTCTCTCTTTCACTCTGTCCCTCTCTGGTCAAATTAAAATAAATAAATAAATGAATTAATTAATTAATAAAGTTCAAGAAAATAATTCTTTAAAAACAAAAAAACAAACAAACTAGAAATCTTCGGACTATGTATTATACAAGTTGTTTATGTAAAATGATGACTCGGCTCTCTAATCAGCAGAGCCCCTAACAAAAGAGTGACATGTAAATTTATATGTCTGAAACTTACCACAAAATGTTTCATTTTTATAATCTGGCACTTCAACTGCTCAGGTAACTGATAAATTTGCAATCCCTGTCATGTCAGATATCAGGGCTTCTATAATTTAAGGGCACTGAAGTTTAAATTTTGAATATTGATGTGTCTTCATAGACAAAAAAACTTCATGGAAGATCAGAATCAGTTGTTTCCAATGCTAAACTGGGCTCTTACAGAGACTTTAAGCAGTGGTGGCTCTCCAGTACGGTAAACCCCTAATTTGTTGTGTTTGCCAATCACCATGGCTAATCTGAAGCTAGCGATGTGACATCGTGCACACAAAATTGGAAGAGATGTGCACAGAGAAAACACTGGAGGTTCTTCAAGAAACTACAAACATGTGGGAAGAGGTGGTCCAATGTCTGTGCGTGGAACACTTACATGAGATGGGATATACAGGCCACACTGACACACAACCACACCGCCTGTTATTCTCAGGTTGCACCTAGAAACAAAATTAGGATCCCAGAGCACTGTGGCCACTAGATCTAGATCCCCAAACTTTTTAGCCAACAGATTTGTATGAGAGGAAATTCCACTCACCTTGGAGTGGGGGAGGGAACCAATAATGCTGAAAAGGTTTTGAAAACTCTTACTTTGTACACACAGGACAGATGAGGGGGTTTGCTTCCCACTCAGCCAGCATGATGCTCAGACATTTTTCGTCAAACTGCAAGCTCTTCTCATACTCGCTGATGATGGATTGTTCTATAAAGCAAAATGCAGGTGAGTGCTCCACATGGATGCCTGGTATTTAATGCTAAGTTTCCCCTCCAAAGGCTTCTTTCACCTGGAGGGAAGATTTGGGCAAAATTGTGCCCCAAATCACTGGTATTTACTGCTCCCTCAGACTAGCTTCCTCTTATTGTCCCCTCCTTGGGAGCAGAGATGAAGTAATCTAAGGACAAAGAGACAACCTTCACCGTCTCTGGAGGTCACAGGAGCAGAGATATAGAATGTCCCAGTCCCAGAGACAAATGGAGAAAGCTGACACAGAACATTTACTTCTGACGCCAGGCCCATCCTGCTGAGTCTAAAGTTATCTGTTTCTCAGTGTCTGTATACTTGGAATCTACCTTGTTCAGAATCTGCGTTTGCTCATTAGGCAAACGTGCAACAGAGCCTAATATGTGCCAGACACGTGGATACAAAGATATCAAAGACTGTCTTGTCCTTGATGAGCTCAGTCTAGGCAAACTACAGTCAGACTCACTTGCTTAAATAGGACTTAAAACTGCTTTTCCATTGCAACAGCAGGGTTGAGTAGTTGTGCCAGAGTGCACATCAACCAAAAAGTCTAAAATATTTACCAGCAAATTTATTTAACAGAAAGTTTGCCAGCCCCTACTTTAATTTAATTATTTATTTCTTCCATGAGAGACAGAAAAAGACAGACACTTATAACACAGTCTTCACATCAACCTAGGACTTTCCCACATGGCTTCAGCTTCACAGACACTATGTTCCCACCGAACCACCAGTAGACTGACCCCTGCTCTGAAATGTTCCTTATATAATGCAGCACAACACAATAAACTTAGTACGCTAGATGTTTGAGTTAAATATATTCCAAAAGAACATTTAGTGAGTCCTGTATTTCACCACTTAAGATAGGTTTTATAGGTGAGGGAAGGCTGAATCAATAAAAAACGGTAACTAAACTTAAGGAACTTCCAGCCTAATTGGAACCAACAATAACAGACCACTAACACTTGCACAGTACTCACTATGTGTCAAATGCTATTTTACATACAACTTCAAAAAGTTTGTGTAAAGTACACAGTACGTAAAAACTATGGATGGATTCAAAATTTTTGTACCCAAATAAACTCATACTTTAATTTCATTTTTCCACAAACTTTTTTTTTCCCACAAACTTTTGAAGTTCCCTCATATTAGCTTCTTCACCATATATTATTATTATTTCAATGATGAAGAGCCTGGGCCAGCAGGTGGCATGGAGGTCAAGGCAGCTAGATTCTACATGGCTGACTGCACAATACAAGTCCTGACCCTGGCAGCTTGAAGAACATGCCAGGCGCATGTGTGGATGTGCCCAAATTCCAAGGGGAGAATGAAGAAAAAGGGATTGAGGCTTGGCCATACTTCCCGCAGGGTGACTTCTCACTTTCTCTCTCTCTCTCCAGCAAGCACACACACCTATGGCAAAACTTTTGGGGGGGGGAGAAGAAAGATTGGGGGCCACTGGGTGGCATAGTGGTTATGGCATTGGACTCCCACATGGCTGACTAGTTTGAGCCTGGGACTTGGCAGCTTGAAAATCACACCAGGTACATGTGCATGCTTGCCCAAAATCCTAAGAGGAGAAGAGAGAAAAAGGGATTGCAGCATGGCCATCTTCCCCCCTCCCCTGGGATGATTTCTCGCTTTCCCCCTCACTGTGTCTCTCTCTTTCCCCCTCTACACATACTATGGCAAAAACCTTAAAAAAATATATAAAAGATGAAGAACATGAGCCACAGGTAAAGTAAGTGCTCTGCCCAGTGCCATGTAAGGTAAACTGGTTAATCTGAGAGGTGAATCTTGTGCTCTGCCTGGTGCCACATAGGGTAAACTGGTTAATCTGAGAGGTGAATCTTAGTGGTCTGCTCAAGGGTATATACTCTTTTTTTTTTTTTAAGAATTATTTTAACTTCATTTATTATTATTATTATTTTCCAGTTTTGATGAGACAGAGAGAGAGAAAGTGAGAAAGCAAGCCACCAGGTCCAGGACTTGAACTGTTGTCGGCCATGTGGGAGTCCAGTGCCTCCAACTACCACACTGCCTGCCAGCCCGAGTATGTGCTCTTGAATCTCATTAAGAGCAACTATCCATTACTGAAATCTTTCTATATGCCACATGCTGCTCTAAGTTTTCTACATATATTATGTAACTTTTACAAACAATTTATAAAGGAGGTCTATTTATTATCTCTATTTTACAGATGATGAAAATGAACCCTACCCAAGACAAGGCAATGTGGAATAAATTACTTAATTAGGGTCTCAGGAAAGTCATGACGCATTTTGGCATAGAAGAGCAGGAAAATATGTCATGACTTTCCTGATAACCTAATATATAAAATGTTAAATGACCTATACCTCAAGGAGCAGATGCTCATAAGAGAGCTGGCAAAATGGATGGGACATATAGCACTTAACTGGGTGGAGCAAGGGATATAAGGATTGCTGTAAAATGGCAGCTTTGCTATTAACCTATTAATAGAAAGGTGGGATAGCAGAAAAAACATGAGACCTGGATTCACACGATTGATTTTGCTTTTCAGCTGTACCACTTAACTAGCTAAGCGAACTGTCTGAGAATACCACTTTCTGCTGTAATACTATCTTGTACAGTAGTTACAAGGAAAAAAAACCATATCATGGAATGAAAAGTTCTTAGTACAAAGCCTAGCATGCTGGAGACCATTATTATCAGGAAGACAGGGAGCCAAGACTTGAGAGTAAAAACAGAGACTTCTGGACATGTGACTGAAGACAGAGGTAGAGGAGGGGAGTTCAGAACTAGTCCTGATTCAAGGAAAGGTCAGCATCCGAGTAACAACATAGGTAGGAAAGCCTCCTCCCAGGGTTACCTTGTTCAATTAGCTCCTGTTGGATTTCCTCCAGCACAGCCAGGTCCACTGGCTCCTCCAACTGTAGGAGAAAGTGGAACCATCAGAAGTTTGAAGTACCAATCAGACAACACTCCTCACAATAAGTCATATTCGGAGGCTGGCTTCAAGAACTCAGATTTACCTGACAAAATCAGTCAGAATATGCTAAGAACAGGGTAATGTGGTCATGCAGAAAATATCAACAATTGATCAAACTACCAGGGACAAAATTACACTACCAAATTTTGATGTAATCAGATGGGGTAGCAGTTAAGCATATGCTCTTCCAAGGCTGTGATCACAGGAAAGTTCCTAATTGTTCCTAACCTCAGTTTCAGCCTCTGTAAAGGAAGAGTAAAATCTACTTGAGAGTTATTGTGAGCACTAATTATGGTGATGTAAGATAAACATCTGGCATACTGTAGGACAGCAGTTCCCACCCCTTTGGTCTCGAGATGAGTTTTGTGGAAGACAACTTTTCCATGGACCAGGGGTGTGGGACACTGTTTTCAGGATGATTCAAGTGCATTACATTTATTGCACACTTTATTTCTATTATTATTACATTGTAACATAGAAGAAAATAATTATATGGCCAGCAGGTGGTATGGTGGTTAAGGCACTGGATTCCCATATGGTTGACCATGGTTCGCATCTTGGACCTGGTGGTTTGCTTTCTCACTTTCCCTCTCTCTTCCTTTCTGGTGAATATAGCAAATTTTGAAAAATAATAAGTAAAATTAAATAAATGAGTCTTTTAAAATTATACAACTCTCCATAATGTAGTATTTGCAGCTGTTCCACAGAGCCAGCATCACTGCCTCAGCTCCACCTCAGATTACCTCGGATTCTCTTAAGAAGCACGCAACCTAAATTTCTCATGTGTGCAGTTCACAATAGTGTTTGTGCTCCTATAAGAATCTAATGCTGCCACTGATCTGACAGAAGGCAGATTTTAGGTGGTAATATAAGCAAAGGGGAGTAGCTATAAATACAGATGAAGCTTCGCTAGCTCTCCCACTGCTCACTCCTGCTGTATAGCCCAGTTTCTAACAGGAAATGGACCAGTACCAATCTAGCAGTTGGGGAACCCTATTATAGAACACATAGAAGAATTATTTTTATTTATCCTTATTTATGTATTGTAATTTGACCAGAGAGGGAGGGAGAGAGAGAAAGTGAGAAAGCAAGCCCCAGGTCCAAGATTTGAACCACGGTCGGCCATGTGGGAGTCCAGCACTCTTAACCACCATGCCACTTGCCGGCTCCAGTCTCTTGATGGTTTTGATGCAGTTTCCCAAGTTACCTTCCATCGTCTTCACAATACTAACTTTATCTTCTCTATTTTGTAAATATGAAAACTAAAGCTCAAAGAGGCAGAGTGAAGTCAGAGTTAGCAGTGGGGGCTAGACAGTTCAGAGTTTTAATTCAAGGCTCTGCGAAGCTGACTCCCATGGGAGGGTTCACAACAGGAGACCTCCCTCAGAGTGCTAGGTGCATGTAAGCCCATGATCTGGGGCTGGGATGGATTGTAGCATCAGAACTCTGTTAATGGGTGCTGTCTCTCCCTCTGTATTTCTTGCTCATGAAGAAAAACAAACTTTAAAAAGTAAAAAAAAAAAAAAAAAAAGAGTCAATAGTAAAACCAGGATAGAATCTAGAACTCATGACTTCCAACTTAGTGTTCTTCCTGACACTCTGTAAATGGTTTCCTATCCATACCCAGTTCCCAACTCTGGCTGAAATTAGAATCAGAGAGTTCCTGGAGAACTTTGTAAAAAGAGATTCTTAGTCCATGCCTAAGAAGGCAAGAAATGCAATTTATTTCTTTTTAGTTTCATAAGTGATTACAGTGTAATAATGCATCAGAGGTATAATCTGGTTATTTAAGAATCATTAATATAGAAGAGTCTAATGTTAAAAGTAGAAAAGGTGGCCAGACAGTGGCACGGTGGTAAAACATGAAGCTCTGCAAGGTTGACCCACGTGGGTAGATTCTGGGTTAACAACAGGACCAGCAGTTAGCGTAATGGCTGTGTCGCTGGACTCCCATGTAGTCGACCGCGGTCTGCATCCTGGACCCGGTGGCTTAAACTCACGCCGGGTGTGTGAGCGTGCGTGCCCAAGATCCCAAGAGGAGAATGGAGGTGAAGGGACTGTGGCATGGCCATCCCCCCTGGAGAGTGATTTCTCGCTTTCTATCTCTATGTCTCTCTCTGCGCATGTGCCCTATAGCAAAAAAAAAAAAAAAAAAAAAAACCTCTCCAAAAAAAGAAAAAAAAAAGATTCTGGATTAACATCAAGAGACTTCTCTGGGGATCCCTAGATGGCAAAATGATTAAATTACTGGACTTATACATGGCCAATGACAGTATGAGTTCTGGACCTGGCAGCTTGAAACTCACACCAGACACATGTGCTTGTGTGCCCAAAATCCCAAGAGGAGAATGGAAAAAAGATTGCTGTGAGGCCATCCCCTCTAGGGGTGATTTCTCACTTTCTGTCTCTTTCTGTCTGTCTGGCGAGTGCACATGCCCTATAACAAAAATCTCTCTGGAAAAAAAAAAAAAAAGAGAAAGACCTCTCTGAGTACACCAGGCTCAGGCATGCCCCTGATCTGTGGCTATCTGAAGCTGGAAGTAGACTGCAGCATCAAGACCTTATTGGGGTGCTGTTGATTTCTCTTACTCATAGAAAAAATAAATAACTAAACTTAAAAAAAGCATAGAAGAGGAGCCAGTAGATGGTGTGGTAGTTAAAGGCACTGGACTCCCACATGGCCAACCATGATTTGAGTCCTGGACCTGGTGGCTTGCTTTCTCTCTCTCTGGTAAAGAGTGAAAATTAATAATAAATAATTCTTTAAAAAAAAAAAAAGCATAGAAGAACTTGAGTTAGTTAAATAATGTTAGAATTCTTTTTTTTTTTTTTTTTAAAAATGTTTGTGGCAATAGGGCATGTGTGCTAGCCAGAGATACAGAAAACAAGAAATTGCCCCCCTGGGGGGGTGGCCACACTGCAATCCCTTCTCCTCCATGCTCCTCTCGGGACCTTGGGCACATATGCACATGTGCCCAGCATGAGTCTGAAGCTGCCGGTCTAGGACTCAAACCGTGGTCAGCTACGTGGAAGTCCAGCAATGTAACCATTATGCTATATGCTGGTCCCAAGAATGTTAGAATTCTTTTTTTTTTTTTTGGAGAGGTTTTTGCTATAGGGCGCATGTGCCACCAGAAACACCAAGAGAGACAGAAAACGAGAAATCACCCCCGGGGATATGGCCACACCGCAATCCCTTCTTCTCCATTCTCCTCGGGATCTTGGGCACACACGCACAGGAGCCTGGCGTTGAGTTTAAGTTACTGGGTCCAGGACTCAAACTGCGGTTGACTACATGGGAGTCCAGCGACGTAGCCATTATGCTAACTGCTGGTCCCAGAATGTTAGAATTCTAATTGGAGGTCTGGGGTAGATGGATGTAGAGGACTTGGGTAAATATGTACAAAGAGGATACAAGAGATGTGGCCTGTGGCCTGGCAGTTAAGGCAGCTGGATCGATATGACCAAATCAGTGATTCAAGTCCCAGATCTAACAGCTTGAGACACATGCTGGGTGGGTGTGTTCATCGGTACCCCAAATTCTGACAGGATGGAAAAATGGAAAAGGGACTGTGGTCTGACCATTTCCCATAGGAGGAGCTTTCTCCCTCTCCCTGGTAAGCACAAAGCACCCTGCGGCAAAATTTTAGAAGAGGGATTGAACAGGACACTAGGAGTTTTTGATGGCATAACCCCTCCCTGAAAACACATATTGCAGCTAGACCTGAGTCCACGCCTCTGGACAATTCTCCACTGACTGCAAAGCATTCCACTCTTCTTCCATCACTTCTTGCACCAAAAAGGAGTTTTGAGCTCTTCCAGGCCTATTGCCTCCAGCCTCACGGTACTTGCTCAAGAGCCTGTCCCGGTTGTTTCTCATTCTCTCCAGGCATCTCTTGGGGGGAGAAAAAGAGCAGAAGAGGAAGAACAGAAGTAATTTCATTTTTTTTAAAAAGAGGGGGTAACCTATAAAAACCTCTTAGATTAGTTGATAAAACATTAAAGGAAATGTACAGACACAAAATTTCAATTATAATTTTACTTATTATTTTTGCATATTTCCCTCCAGTTCTTATCCATGCATAGATAAGTAAAATTGCAATGCTTTGTTCATGTATTTCCAGAATGTCATATTTCATATCCTATCTTCATTACCAGCTTCTTTACAATTGAGTACATAATATTTCAGGATTCACTGTCACATCACAAGACATTTATATTGCTTCCAAATTCTTCCTACTCTATATGTGATTGTGGTAAAAGACTTCCTACACAACAGTGTTTCTCAATTCAGGGCGATTTTGTCCCCTGCAATACATATGCAATGCTTGGAGACACTTTTGGTTGTCACAACTTGACTTGCAGGACTGCTGGCATCTAGTGGGTAGAGGCATGGGATGCTGCTGAATATCCTAAGATGTGTAGATAGCCCTACACATCAACAAAAAAATTACCTCACTCAAAATGTCCAACAGCAAAAATGGAGGCGCCCTGGTGTACACACCCTTTTTAGCATCAGATTATTTTCCTGGGATATATCTACTATTTTAGAGATTCCTGAAGAGATAGGTAATCTTACTTACCAGGGACCATGCTGAGTTTAAAAGAGGCCAGAATTGAGGTGGGGTAAAACTCAGCTAAGACTTAGAAACTTGGGTCTTAAAGTGCCTCAGTTTACTGCTCTGTAGAACAGAAATATTTTCTACCTCACATGATGTACTCATACTAAGGTGCCCACCCACCCAGCAGCAGTAGCTGTTGGTGTTTTTGCAGAGGGGAAAAGGGTTTGGTCATGACGACACTTCAAATTGAAAACAAATCAGAATCCAAAAATGAGCTGATGCGGGCTGATCCAACACCCGGGGTGCCAAAATACGGGAGGTGACGAGGGTTGCCAAAACCTATCACTGGGGGCCTGAGTTCGAGGACCACCTCTACCTCAGCCAGGCACTCCAGGCACCTGCCTTACAACGCAGGGTGGGAAGAAGGCACGGGGGACCGGAGGACCGTGGTCCTCGGAATGGATTAGGGGAGTGACGTCAGCTCGAACGCCACACTCACCTTCCTGAAAGTCTCTTTCCAAGGCGGCGAGCCCACCAGTTTGTACAGAGAGCGGCGCTGAGACCCTGACGGGGCTGCCATCTCTAAGCCGGAGTAGCCGCCAAAAATGCCCTGACGCCTTAGCGCGGGGGGGACTCTGGGAGCTGTAGTTCCTAGGCCCTGGTCTCGCTCAGATCGCAGGTAATTTTGGGAAGTGGTGCTTGACCCGCCGGGCCCAGTCAGAGTCAGATTTTGGGCAACGCAAGGGTAGGCGGCTGAAATAGTAAGATTTGTGAGGTCAACTCAACCTGCATTGAGGGAGTTAAGTCTTGAAGAAACGTTCTGGGCGTCTGGGTTTACCCCGATAGAGGTGTGCAATAGGCGATTGGGCACACGCGTGTCAGTCTCTGCTCCAGGTACCCCCAGCAGCAAGTCTTTTTCTAAATAGGCACCGTTCTATTGACCACCTCGCCGCTTTGGGATTCAGAATAAAGACTGAGCTGACGCTTGGCTTTCCTCAGAAGAGGCGCCTGCCGGATGGGCGGGTTTCCCCTTGCCCCGCCCCTGGCACTCGCAGCGTGCTTCCGGGCCGCCTGCCCTGTGATTGGCCGAGACGGCGGACGGCGGACGGCGGATTGGCTGCGCTTAGCGGCGGGCTGAGTAACTGGAGCGAGAACAGCAGTTGGGCCAAGATGGCGGCTGCGGATGGTTCCGTGGGCGACGGTGAACTGTGGCAGACCTGGCTTCCTAACCATGTCGTGTTCCTGCGACTCCGGGAGGGACTGAAAAATCAGAGCCCAGCTGAAGCTGAAAAACCGAATTCTTCACCATTGCCTTCGTCGCAGCAGTTGCTGACCAGAAACCTGGCCTTCGGCCTCGGCGGAGAGCTCTTCCTGTGGGACGGAGAAAGCTGCTCCTTCTTACTTGTTCGTCTTCGGAGCCTGAGCGGGGGCGGTGAGGAGCCCTCGCTCTCCCAGTACCAGGTACCGCCAGGCGGATTTGGGATGTGACTCTCAGCTGGTAGCCGAACTATCGATAGTTTTGTGTTCCCTTCCCATCTTGGCTGTTTTAAATCTAGTAGGTGTGTTGTACAAGCGTAGGCAGACGTCCGTTCGGCGACGCCCCACGTCGAGTGGAAAAGTCCTTTTGCCTTCTTAATTCTGTCCTGCTGCACCATGGCTCCATAGCCTTTTGAAGCCTGTTCCCTTCTTAGATGTTTGTTGACTCCGACACTGCCAAACACTATTACAGGAATTCATGCTTAAGTGCTGGGGCTCTGGAGGAAGAGGGTGACCATGGAGTAATCAATACATTATCACTGATGGGGGCCGGCAGGTAGTGTGCTGGTGAAGGCACTGGACTCCCACATGGATGACCATGGTTCAAGCACCGATCCTGGCAGCTTGCTTTCACGCTTTCCCATTCTCTTTGTCCCTTTCTGGTCAAGTTAAACAATAATAATAACAAATATAAATAAATAAGTAAATATTTTTTAAAATTATCAATGATGGTTAAGTGCCCTGAAGGAGAACAAAGCAGAGGAAGAGAATAGTTTTCTATTGCTATTTTTAGTAGGTTAGTCAAAACAAACCTATTACAGGACGTGTAAAATAAAATAATGGGAATAATCATAACTTTCTATTGGGATTGTGGTGAGCATCAAACCATCGTTGGAAGCACCAACGTTGGTGCCAGAAGTAGAGGAAGAAGTACTCCTCCCACACCCCTTTTAGAAAATTGGGCTGTTTTGAAGGTGGGAGTGATTTTTGTTTTTGATAAGCCAGCAGCATGAGAAAGTGTTTGTGATCAAAAGTTTTACAGGCCATGGGGCCAGCAGATGGCATAGAGCTTAAGGTGCTGGACTCCCGCCTGGTGGACTGTGGTTCTTGTCCTGGACTCGTGGCTTGAAACACACAGGGTGAATGTGTACCCACCCTTACTCCCCAGAGGAGGCTCTGTCTTTTCAGCAAGCGCACACACCCTATAGCAAAAATCTCTCAAAAATAAAAAATTTTCCAGACTTGCTATGATCAAACATACCTTACTGGAAATATTTCTCTGTAATAAATTCTCTTATTTTAACAATTAAAAAATAAAAGTTGTCAACTGTGTATTTATTTAGAGAGCCTTCTTTGCTCTAGGGCACATACACTCACTGGGAGACACAGAGAGACAGAGCGAGAAATTTTCCCCAGCAGAGATGGCTACACTGCAATCCCTTCTCCATTCTCCTCTCAGGATCTTGGGCATGCACGCACAGTCCCCTGCGTGAATTTCTTTTTTAAGGCACCAGGTCCAGAGCTCAAACCACGATTGACTGCGTGGGAGTCCTGCGACATAACTGTTATGCCACCTGTTGGTCCTTTTTTTTGAAGAATTTTGACAGAAGATGAAAAAAGGCTTTACCAGAATGATTCTGAAGACAAAGCACAACCAAAACAATGGCTACCAAGACATGGAAGTGCTTAAGACAAAACAGAAGTAGGTTGGTCTAGAGCAAAGGTTGTGGCAACAGTTTTTTGGGGATGCTTAAGGCGTTTTGCTATTTGACTTTCTAGGGGCCAAAGAGTAATGATTGTCTTCTTGCTGAACGCCAGCAACATGGTATTCAGGTGCTTTATGGAGGTTGGCCTGTAGCCTATGTCTCCTTTGGCCCTCCTGCCAGTAAGCTGGTTGCAATTGTAGATGTTATCGATCAGAACAGGGCTTTGGTTGATGGATCTTGCACTCAGGTGAGGAGACAGGCCATGCCTTTCAAATGCATGCACCTCACTGACTTCATCCTCAAGTTCCCACATAGTGTACACCTACTGCAAGCAAGAAGGCTCCAGTCCAGAAGGTTCCTGCTCCCTACCAGGCCAAAAGGCAGCTGCACCTCCAAAAGCTCAGAAAGGTCAGAAAACTGTAGCCCAGAAAGCACCTGCACCAAAAGCATCTGTCAAGAAAGCCAGAGGCTTTGATGAAAACAGTAAATGTTCTCTTTGACATAAGAGGCTGTAATAAAAATAATAAATGTTCTTTTTGACATAGCAAAAAATAGAGTGATGACTGACATCTGCTTTTGAGAGTGTTTTGAGAAGTTTGCCAAAGGGGGACCCAGCAGTTAGCATAATGGCTATGTCACTGGACTCCCATGTAATTGACCTGGACCGGTGGCTTAAAACTCACCCCGGGCGCATGTGCGTGCATACCCAGGATCCCGAGAGGAGAATGGAGGAGAAGGGATTGTGGCATGGCCATTCCCCCTGAGGGGTAATTTCTCGCTTTCTGTCTGTCTTGTCTTTCTGTCTGTCTCTTTCTGGCAAGTGCAAGTGCCCTGTAGCAAAAACCTGTAAAAAAAAAAAAAAAAAAGAAAAAGAAAAAAAAGGAAAGAAATTACCCTCCTGGGGGATGACCATGCAACAGTCCCCTCTCCTCTTACGGAATTTTGCACACACATGCACACGTGGCCCAGTTTGATTTTCAAGCTACCAGGTCTGGGACTTTGACCACAGTCAGCCATGTGGGAGTCCAGCACCTTAAACGACACACCACCTGCTAGTCCTAGATGTATAAGTCTTATTAGCCAGCTAAAAAAGAAAAACAGGGCATTAAAGGAGGAGAAACAAGTGTAAAAGGACATGGGCATAGCAAAGCATAATGATTTCCCAGAAATACAGGAGTCTGAGTGGAGTGTAAAGCGAAAGTAGGGAATGGTGGTGAGTTGAGACTAGAGTAATAGGCTGGAGCTTTATTGTAAGAGGAAAAATCATGTCTAGTAATCTCTAAAAAGGGAAATCTGATGTTCCAATATAAGCTATTAAAAATATTTTGTCAGTTAATAGCCCAACAGTATGTTTTCAGAATGTTAATTATCCTATAGAGAAAAATGAAGCATTACTGTGATTTCAAGTAACTGCTACACATATTTATATTTAAATGAACTATTTTGACCAGTTTGTTTTAATTTGCAGAAATTGCTTTGTATAAATCCACCCCTGTTTGAAATCTATCAAGTCTTATTAAGTCCAACACAACATCATGTAGCACTTATAGGAATAAAAGGACTTATGGTATTAGAATTACCTAAAAGATGGGGGAAGAATTCTGAATTTGAAGGTGGAAAATCAACAGTGAATTGTAGGTAAGTTGTATTTTCATTTGGTATTTATGCATATACTTTGCAATATATACCAGAAAATTATTTAAGACAAGTGGTTATTAAAATGTATTTAGTATCCAATATTAAAACATCATAGCATTCCGGGACCAGCAGTTGGTGTAATGGCTATGTCACTGGACTCCCATGTAGTCAACTACAGTTCGAGTCCTGGACCCAGTGGCGTAAATTCACGCCAGGCACGAATGCGTGCATGCCCAAGATCCTGAGAGGAGAATGGAAGAGAAGGGATTGTGGTGTGGCCATCCCTCCTGGGGCGGGGGTATTTCTCGTTTTCTGCCTCTCTGTCTCTCTCTTTCTGGCAAGTGCACGTACCCTATAGCAAAAACCTCTGCCAAAAAAAAAAAAAAATGTTAACAGTATTCCTTAGCATCTGTAGCAGGCTTTTTGTGATATTAACGTTCATGGTATATATGATCAATTGTACTTTTATTCTGCTTGAATTATCACACACTGCTGTCTCATTGAAAGTTAGATCATTCTTTCAATTAGGTAGAACAAGGATGTATTTTTAATTTTTTGATTTTATTTTATTTTTTTTAATTTTTGCTACAGGGTATGTGCACGGGGGGAGGGGGGGGAGGGGAAGTGACAAAGCAACCCCTAGGGGAGATGGCCATACCACAATCCCTTCTCTTCTATTCTCTCAGAATTTGGGGCACACACACACATGTGCCCAGAGAATTTTTCGAACCACCAGGTCTGACACTTGAATTACATAGTGAGTCATGTGGGAGCCTGCTGTCTTAACCTCCATGCCAACTGCTGGCCCAATATTTTTTAAATTAAACATTTTTTTAAAAATTTTGCTAGAGGGCATTGTGCATTCAGTGGCAAGAGACAGAAGAAGTAAGAAAATTGCCCCTCATGGAGAATGGCCATGCCATAATCACTTTTCCATTTTTTCGCTCCTTTTGGGATTTTGGGTGCAAATGCACACACACCCAGCATGCCTTTCAAACTGACAGGACCTGAACTGCACTATTGTACATATGGGCTAGAGCTCGTACAACCACCAGGCCACAGACTGGCCCAGTAAGAGGATTTAAAATACAGTGTCTGTGAGTCAGAAGTTTATCTAGGTTTTATTTTTATGTAGTGTCTTTTTCAGCGAATCCAGAAAAGTGAGAATATGAAAGATCTACTGAAAAGAATATAAGGTAGAAACCCACCTTGAGCTTATAAGCTGAGTTCTTTGTTTTTATTTTTTTTTAAACTTGCTGGAGAGTATGTGTGCTCACTGGAGAGAGAAAGAGAAAGTAAGAAAGCATCCCTTTGGGAAATGGCCATGCCTCAACACCTCCTACATTTCTCTTTTTGAGATTGTGGACATGCACACATATGTGTCTGGCATGCCCTTTGAACCACCATGTCCAGGACTCGAGCCATGCAGTCAGCCATGCGGGATCCAGTCACCTTAACCACAACACCACTGGATGGTCCATAAGTTAAGTTTCTTTTTTTTTTTTTTGGAGAGGTTTTTGCTATAGGGCATGTGCGCTCGCCAGAAAGACAGAAACAGAAAGTGAGAAATCACCCCCCCCCGCCCCCGGGGGTGATGACCGTGCTGCAATCCCTTCTCCTCCATTCTCCTCTTGGGGTCTTGGACACACACACGCATGTGTCTGGCATGAATTTAAGCCACTGGGTACGGGACTCGAACTGCAGTTGACTTCATGGGAGTCCAGCAACATAACCATTATGCCAACTACTGGTCCCAAGTTTCTTTAAGTTGTTTATTTTCTAAATCTGTTTCTTCATTTTCAAAGTACAGTAATAATATTTGCATTTGTAGTTTCCATATGGGGTTAATAAAAGGATCAAATCAGATACTATATCTAAAAACACTTTGGTTAAAAAATATTTTTATATTAACTGTATGGTATTGATTGACTACTAGCATCTATTTTGAATGCTTGAGCAAGGGAAAGAAATAAGAAGGAAAGAAAAGCAGACCAGCTCCATAGCTTGTTGGTTAAGACAGCCAGATCCCACATGGCTGACCATGTAGTTTGAGTCCTAGGCCTGGTGACTCAAAAACCACATGAGGTGTGTGTGCATGCATGCTCAAAATCCTGAAAGGAGAGAAGAAGAGGAAGAGATTATAGCATGACCATTTTCTACAGGGAATGTTTGCTTCTCTCCCTCTCTAACTGGCAAGTGCAAGTGCCCGCTAACAAAAAAAAAAAAGGGAAGGTATATTAAAATAGATTTTCCTTTTGAATGTTTTTCATTCATGTTCTACAAAATGTTTAGGAAAATTGTTGTCTTTATTTTAGTACCACTCCAATTGCTGAGAGATTTTTCACCAGTTCTACCTCTCTGACTCTAAAGCATGCTGCCTGGTATCCAAGTGAAATGCTGGATCCCCACATAGTGCTATTAACATCAGACAATGTTATAAGGTAAATTTTATTTTTATCTCTGTTGTAGCTTTGTAGGTGAGAAGGGTCTGTTCTTTGCCAATTAACAGCTCAGTAGCAACAAATGAATCATAGAATGTTTGGAATGCTTTGTGTGATGGCTTTTGTGATCTATTCTCAGTAATAAGAATCACCTAACTTACCTGGTAATTATTTTTATTCCTTTTGTATTCCTCCATTGTCTCCTACTCTGACCTGTAGTACTATTACCAGACCTCTTCATCATGTCCGTCTTTGGGTGATAATATATTATAGGGGAAAGGATATAAGTGGACATAGAGAGATTCGAATTATCATCCCACTCCGTGGTTTTTACCCTTACGATCTTGGACTTCTTTTTAGTGTCAATATTAGTTTCCAGTCTGTAAAAGTAGCAGGTTTGATTTGATAGGTTTTTTTTTTTTTTTTTTTTTTAAGTTTATTTATTTCTTCCATTAGTCAGGGAGATGGAGAGCCAGAAACAGTACTCCAGTAGGGTTCTAATCGCCCCTGCTTCAGCCAGCCCCAGATCATGGACACACATGCACCTGGGTATTCTCAGGCAAGTCTCCAGTTGCAAACCTGGAATATTCCCATGTGGGCCAGCCCCACAGTGTTGCGTTTTGCCATGGCATCATCGTCTGGACCCTGATATGAGCATTTCTGAAGTTATTTCCAAGCCTTGCACTGAATGATTAAATGTTCTAATTCTACTTAGGTTTCTATTAGTGTCAGTTAACTTTCTGAATCATCTTATATAAAAAGTTTATTGGTAAGGATTCAGCAGAGGTACAAATGCCTTCAGTTTTGTTTTTTTTCTGATCACTGCTCTTAATTATGTTCTCTCAAATCTTCCTTCTCTGCTGAATGGCTGGTGCCTTAATGGCATCTTACACATATCCCATAGCTTTCTGGTTACTTTTCAGTATTAAAATTTAGTGTGTCCAGTTTAAAACTTTAATACTCAAAACCATTTAAAAACTATTATTGTAGCTCTTTCGTAGATCAGACCTGTGTCCTATAAAATGAGTGAAATAGGGCCAGCAAGTGGTGTGGTGGTTAAGGCGCTGGTCTCTCACATGGTCAGCTGTGGTTCAAGTTCTAGACCTGGCATTGAAACTCATGCTTGGTACATGTACATGTGTGCCTAGAATTCCAAGAGGAAAATGGAGGAGAAGGGACTGTAGTGGCCGTTACTCCAGGGGTGATTTCTCACTTTCCCTCTCACTGTTTCTGTCTGGTGAGCATTTGTGCTCTTTGGCAAAAACACTTTTAAAAATAACAAAATAAAATGAGTGAAATGGTCTGAAATAACTGGAGAGGGTGTGGTCTGCGTTTTCATTCATTCTTCTACCTCAGCACTTGGGGTACAAGGGTGAAATGTAAGAATGAGGCTGCCTACTCCTTCCTGATACTCTTTCAGAATGGGGTTAGGGAGTGTGGGGTTGGTAATGCAGAGATCTTACCTAACTGCTAATAGGTCAGTGATATGAAGGTACTTGGTTTAATCTAGTTCTGACGGAGGTCATCAGCAGTAACCTCTGTTGATGTGGTGGTTTCTATACAGATGGTTGTATGCATGTTCAAGGGTGCAGTGTTTAACTTCTAGCTCCCTCAGTAAGTTTATATCTCCCATTGGCTTCTTTCAACTCTCAGTATCCTGAACGTTTTCTCAAGATAGAGTATTCCCAAACTTGGTTATCTTCTACCTTTTCACTTAACTGTTGTGGTCTTTTATATGGAGCTATGTTAATAGCCAGGGTTCTCTAACCTGCTCATAAAGGGCTTCAGAGAACTGGACATACTATACCATAGTCCTTTCTTATCCAGATTTTTTTTTTTTTGAGAGGTTTTTGCTATAGGGCACGTGCACTCTCCAGACAGAGAGAGACAGAGAGACAGAAAGCAGGAAATCACCCCCCAGGGGGAGTGGCCACGCCACAATCCCTTTTCCTCCATTCTCCTCTCAGGATCTTGGGCACGCACACACACGCGCCTGGTGTGAGTTCAAGCCACCGGGTCCGGGACTTGAACCGCGGTCGACTACGTGGGAGTCCAGCGACATAGCCATTATGCCAACTGCTGGTCCCTTCTTGTCCAGTTTTAACGTGCCTCCTTCAGAAGTTCCCAGGTAAGAAATAGACACCATATAGTGTTTACATAACCTAGGGCCTAGGATATGACATATCAGATATATCCAGGAATATACTTGGTGGCCTATGTATCTGCAACACATCTAGCATTCAGCTAGGAACTGAGGCACTAATCTCTTTTATTATAGATACTGCTACATACGAATATTTCTCCTGGAGCCTTCTCTGTCCACCCACATGGCTTTGGTGTTGGAAATTGCAAAGACAAAATAAGTGATTAATTTGTTGGAGACTTTAAAAGGGACATTGGATTTCTTTTTTTTTTTTAAGAATTATTTTTTATTTAACTTTATTTGTTTACATGTTTATTTAATTTAATTGGACCAGAGAGGGATGGAATGAGAGAGAAAGTGAGAAAGCAAACCGCCAGGTGTTTGGTACTCAAAATGCAGTCGACCATGTGAGAGTCTAGAGCCCTTAACCACCACGCCACTTGCCGTCCCCAGGACATTGGATTTCTAATAATGACATTATAGGCCTTTTGAAAGTCTTTTCCCATTTAACAATGGCCATATACACTGTGAAATATAAGTTGTTTCAAATTATTTTGGTTAAAAAAAAATCCAAGGGGCCATACAGTGACACAGCATTAAAAAGCAGCACTCTGTATTCAATCACACAGGGGAAAGTTCCTGGTTCAAGCCTGGAGACTTCCTTGAGTAGATTAGGCACATGTGTGCCCATTATCCAGGGCTGGCTGAAGACTAAGGGTAGATGGTGGCATTGGAACAATGGGAATGTGCTTTCTGTCTCCCTCAGTCAAAAAAGAAACAGAGAGACCTAAAATTCAGTTCTCTATACTTCTCTTGAAGAAAATATGAGCGATATGATATTGGGTCTTTATATAACAAAAACATGTATAGATTGCAGGCTAAATGTCACTCACTGTGTCAACCAGTGGTATAATAAAGAGTATGGTGGGACCAGCAGTTAGCATAATGGCTATGTTGCTGGACTCCCATGTAGTCGACCATAGTTCGAGTCCCAGACCCGGTGACTTAAACTCATGCCGGGCACATGTGCGTGCGTGCCCAAGATCCCTAGAGGAGAGGGGATTGCAATGTGGCCATCCCCCCTGGGGGGTGATTTCTCGCTTTCTGTCTCTTTGTCTCTCTTTGTCTTCCTGGCGAGCGCACGTGCCCTATAGTAAAAACCTCTCCAAAAAATAAAGAAATAAAGAATATGGGGTCAGCAGGCAGCGTGGTGGTTAAAGCACTGGATACTCCCACATGGACAACCACGGTTCAAGTCCTGGACCTGGTGGCTTGCTTTCTCACTTTCCCTCCCTTCCTCTCTCTCTCTAGTCAAATTAAAATAAATAAATGAATAAATATAATTAAATAATTCTTTTACAGAAAAAAAAAAAAAAGAATAAGATGGTTCCTTTTCTAGTGAGATCTATCCCCCAACCCCTGTCTTAACCGGCAGAGAGAAATGGGTATAATTGAAGAACACCTGGCAAGCTTGGGGCTAGTTGTGAGGTGACTAGACAAGATGAGTATAGCTAAGAGCTCAGGACAGTAGAAATAAAAGTATAATCTTATGGAGTGAGTTGCTAAAGAATATTGGTAGGGATAGAAAATATTTTTTTTAGGTAACCAAACAAACCTCCTTTTAGGTTAAAAAAAAATGAAGTAGGCCGCTTTGTCAGTAGCAGTTAGTTCTGTGGTAAAGAAATGGTTATGGAGCTAACCAGATGGTGTTGTGGTTAAGGTGACTGAATCCCACATGACCAATTGCATGATCCAAGTCCCAGACCCCACAACCTGAAAAAGCTCCTAGGGTACATGTTCATTTGCCCAGAAGCCTGAGAGGAGAGTCAAAGAGAAGAGATTATTGTGTGGTCATCCCCTTTGAAAGATGCTTTCTCTCTTTCTCTATCTCTCTCTCTCTCCCTCCCTCCCTCCTCCCACCTCCCTCCCTTCCTCCCCCTCTCTGTTTCTCTGGCAAGCACATGTGCTCTGTAGCAAATTACCAAAAAAAATAAAGAAGAAGAATTTTTAAAAATAAAGGTTATGATAACTGCTTGGGAAGATACTCAAATAAGAACTGATTAGATGGAGAGGAAACTGCAGTTCAGGGAAATGTAAGAATTTTAAGTACTGGTTTTTTTCTCTTTTGGTTGCTAGGATTTACTCACTACGGGAGCCCCAGACACCCACTAAGGTGATTGTGCTTTCAGAAGCAGAAGAAGAAAGTCTCATACTCAATAAAGGGTAAGATTTTATGTGTATCATGGAGTGTTTTTTTAAAACTATTTTTACTGAATTTTAAATACATTTTTTACAGATTACAAGGTTTTCTAGAGGTGATTTTAGTGTGGTTTTGGTAATGTGAAAAGTAAGCAAAAAGTAGGCACTGTGAGTAACTAATAAGTTACAAATCAGAATGTCACTATAACTAATAGCTTGATATCTTTTTTTTTCCCTTTTTTTTGAATAAGTTTGCTATAGGGCACGTGTGCTTGCCAGAAAGACAGAGACAGACAAAAAGCAAGAAATCATCCCCCAAGGGGAAATGGCCGTGTCACAATCCCTTCTCCTCCATTCTCCTCTTGGGATCTTGGGCAGGCACGCACATGTGCCCGGTGTGAGTTTAAGCCACGCGGTCAGGGACTCGAACTGTGGTCAAATACATGGGAATCCAGTAATGTAGCCATTGCGCCATCTGCTGGTCCCACGCTTGATATCTCTTCAAAAAAGTTCTAAAATGTGAGTGACAGAAATTGATCCCCTTTGTAACTTAAATAAGAGAATACATTACAACTGCAAAGTTATGGAAAAGATGAAAGACGAGAGCATTGGGCTAGAGGCTTATGAACTGTTCATTCACGGTAGATAAGGCAGATTACTGAATTCCCAGATTGCATGATCCAAGTCCCAGACCCCACAACCTGAAAAAGCTCCTAGGGTACATGTTCATTTGCCCAGAAGCCTGAGAGGAGAGTCAAAGAGAAGAGATTATTGTGTGGTCATCCCCTTTGAAAGATGCTTTCTCTCTTTCTCTATCTCTCTCTCTCTCCCTCCCTCCCTCCTCCCACCTCCCTCCCTTCCTCCCCCTCTCTGTTTCTCTGGCAAGCACATGTGCTCTGTAGCAAATTACCAAAAAAAATAAAGAAGAAGAATTTTTAAAAATAAAGGTTATGATAACTGCTTGGGAAGATACTCAAATAAGAACTGATTAGATGGAGAGGAAACTGCAGTTCAGGGAAATGTAAGAATTTTAAGTACTGGTTTTTTTCTCTTTTGGTTGCTAGGATTTACTCACTACGGGAGCCCCAGACACCCACTAAGGTGATTGTGCTTTCAGAAGCAGAAGAAGAAAGTCTCATACTCAATAAAGGGTAAGATTTTATGTGTATCATGGAGTGTTTTTTTAAAACTATTTTTACTGAATTTTAAATACATTTTTTACAGATTACAAGGTTTTCTAGAGGTGATTTTAGTGTGGTTTTGGTAATGTGAAAAGTAAGCAAAAAGTAGGCACTGTGAGTAACTAATAAGTTACAAATCAGAATGTCACTATAACTAATAGCTTGATATCTTTTTTTTTCCCTTTTTTTTGAATAAGTTTGCTATAGGGCACGTGTGCTTGCCAGAAAGACAGAGACAGACAAAAAGCAAGAAATCATCCCCCAAGGGGAAATGGCCGTGTCACAATCCCTTCTCCTCCATTCTCCTCTTGGGATCTTGGGCAGGCACGCACATGTGCCCGGTGTGAGTTTAAGCCACGCGGTCAGGGACTCGAACTGTGGTCAAATACATGGGAATCCAGTAATGTAGCCATTGCGCCATCTGCTGGTCCCACGCTTGATATCTCTTCAAAAAAGTTCTAAAATGTGAGTGACAGAAATTGATCCCCTTTGTAACTTAAATAAGAGAATACATTACAACTGCAAAGTTATGGAAAAGATGAAAGACGAGAGCATTGGGCTAGAGGCTTATGAACTGTTCATTCACGGTAGATAAGGCAGATTACTGAATTCCCAGACCAGCATATATTGTCCCAGAACTTGGATTGGAATATCAGTGACCCTTCTGATTATACTATGACTCTTTTATGTTTTCTTGCTCATAATAGGGATAGGTTCCTGACTACTTTAACTACTAACAGAATCTCCCTTTGAACTTCCATACCCTTCCTAAACAGTCTTTCTGGTGATTACTACACATGAGCATTCATAGTGTGTACATGTAGAGTGAAGCTATTCATAGCAGTATTTCTGGATGTTCATTGGTCCTTTTAATGTCTGTGTGGTGATCATATCTAATAGTCTTGTTTATATTTTGTTATGAAAACTTTTTTTAAATTGCCGAAGGGCTCATGTACTTATTGGGTAGGGGAAGAGCACCCCTAAATGGGGTATGATCATGCTGTAGTCCTTTCTCGTCTATCTGCCCATCCCATCAGGATTTGGGGAATACAAGCACATATGCCCAATGTGTTTTTCAAGCCACTGCAGCTGAATTTGAACCACAGTGGACCCTGTTAGATCTGACTCCCTTAACCACTAGGCTATGGGGATGACTACTTTTATTCTAACTTTATTCCTTCGGTATACATATTTTTTAACTGCTAGAGAATATATGCTCACTAGAGAGAGGGAGGGAACTCCTCCTAATGGGGTGTAGTCACACCACAATCCCTTCTCCATTTCTCTATCCCATTGGGATTTGGGGCGCGCGCACACACACACACACACACACACACATACACATACACATGTGCCTGACCTGTTTTTCAAGCTGCTAGAGCCAGGATTTGAACTACAGTTGGCTATGTGAGACCCAGCTCCCTTAACTACTAGATCACGAGCCAGCTATGGTTTTGTACTTTTTATATAGCTATTTCATATGGACAGTTTTCATATCTGAAGTTTTTGAGAGAAATTTAAATCTATATTTTTTTTCTTTCCCCTAACCAGCAATCATGATGGTTTCCTTACAATTGCTGATCTCTAACTATGAACCTCTATTTACTCGATCTTAATATTGAGAATATGGAGAGCCTGACTTGGGGGTTTCTTCCTCTAGAGAGGATTTTCTGCTGCTTCTGGAAGCCAGGGGTTGCTATTGGCATGGGACCACTTTATTCTCTTTGATAGTCCTGCTAATGTAAGTTTCAATAAAATGATATGACTGTCTTACAACTTCTTAAATCCTAAATATCCATCTCCATAATGGGAAAATATTTGCTTCTAGGGGTTGATAGGTCCTATTCTTGAGTCAGGGCTGTTTCTTGACTGCATCATGTTTTCATAGCTGACCAACTTCCTTTTGAGGCATGTTGTTTGGATAAAAGGCAATGGATCTAATACAGTTGTTCCTTTTTTTTTTTTCTTTTTCTTTTTTTTTTTTTAGAATTATTTAATTTTATTTATTCATTCATTTATTTTAATTTGACCAAAGAGACAGAGAAAGAGAGAGTGAGAAACAAGCCATGAGGCCCAGGACTCGAACCGTGGTAGGCCATGTGGGAGTATTCAGTGCCTTAATCACTACACCACCTGCTAGTCCTGATCTAATGCAGTGGTTAAAAGCATTAGCTCTTGCTCTTTGCTGCGCCTACTGCAAGGATGAAGACCATTCTCAGCAACCAGAAGGTCGACATTCCTGAGAATGTTGACATCACACTGAAGGGACGCACCATTATCGTGAAGGGCCCCCCGACGAACCCTGAACCCTGCGGAGGGACTTCCATCACATCATTGTCAAGCTCAGCCTCCTTGGGAAGAGGAGAAGGCTGAGGGTTGACAAATGGTGGGGAAACAGAAAGGAGCTGGCAACAGTTTGCACTATCTGTAGTCACTTCCAGACATGATCAAGGGTGTTACATTGGGCTTCTGCTACAAGATGAGGTCTGTGTACGCTCATTTCCCCATCAGCGTCATTATTCAGGAGAATGGGTCCCTTGTTGAAATCTGAAATTTCTTGGGTGAAAAATACATCCGGAGGGTTCAAATGAGACCAAGTGTTTCTTGTTCAGTATCTCAAGCCCAGAAAGATGAGTTGATCCTTGAAGGCAATGATATTGAACTTGTTTCAAATTCAGCTGCTTTGATACCTCAAGCCACGACAGTTAAAAATAAAGATATAAGAAAATTCTTGGATGCTATCTATGTCTCCGAGAAGGGAACAGTTCAGTAAGATCTAAGAGTACTCCAGCTACAGTAACAACCTGGATAATTTCTAAGGCCTTTATATGATATTTTAAAGATGATAATAAAAGACAATAATTGATTTGAAACTTTCTTTTCCAGCTACTTGGCAAGTAAGCAATTGAGTAAAGAATTATTCCTAGTAATAGGAGTATGCTAAGAACAATACAGAATTCCCAATCAGGAATTTTTTTTGTCTAGTTATTTTTCTTCACAGGAACAAGTGGCTTAAATCTGGTTTTTGAAGGAATAGCAAGGATATTTCAGGCAGAAGAAGTACAGTACCAGGGAATATGTCTGTTCATCATGGATATAGAGGTTGAGGAAGATCCTGAGGCTAATTTTACTATGGCATCAATTTTTATTTGGTACAGATGTGTCCTAGTCACTTGTAAAGAGGTACGTGACGGGACCAGCAGTTAGCGTAATGGCTGTGTCGCTGGACTCCCACATAGTCGACCGCGGTTCGAGTCCCGGACCCGGTGGCTTAAGCTCATGCCGGGCACATGTGCGTGTGTGCCCAAGATCCCAAGAGGAAGAGTGGAGGAGAAGGGATTGCAGTGTGGCCATCCCCTCTGGGGGATGATTTCTCGCTTTCTGTCTCTCTGTCTCTCTCTGTCTGTCTGGCGAGTGCACGTGCCCTATAGCAAAAACCTCTCTTAAAAAAAAAAAGAGAGAGAGAGATACCTGAGAAGTAGAACAAAGTGACAAAGCCTTGCTATGAGCTACGAGATGTAGTTTGTGTCATGATAAAGAATAATTTTGCCAGAAAAAAAAAATTTAAAAAGCATTAGCTCTTTAAACATACCTGGGTTCCAACCGTGGCTCTATTGCTTGCCAGCTGTGACATCTGTTTTTTTCAGTTGTTCTAAATCTCATTCCCATGACTAAGTGATGGTAATCATTCTTAGATTATTAAATAGAATAAATGAGGTCTTGCCTAAAATAAGTCTTTAGTATGGGCTTGGCACAGAGTATTTATTGATAACTCCTACTGTTAGATATATACCTTTATTAATCTCTAGATAAATTTTGATGGCTTGGGAATCATGCCTTGTAAGATTTATTTCTGTGTCTATTTGTTCTCATCCAGTATCTTGATTTTTTTAGTTTAACTCAAGCAGTTCTTTATTTTTTTATTTTTGTAAAGTTTTTGTTATAGGGCTTGTATACTTGCTAGAGAGAGACAGAGAGAGAAAGAGAAAGTGAGAAACCAAACACCAGGGGGAATGACCACACTATAATCTCTTTCCTTCCACTCTCTTGGGATTCTAGGCACACATGCACACATACCTGACAATGTGTTTTTCAAGCTGCTAGATACAGGACACAAGCTGTGCAGTTAGCCATATGTGGTCCAACTACCTTAACCACCACACCACTGAGCAGTTAGTTTATTCTTTTTTCCCTATAATTCTTTTTTCTCATTTTTTACTTCCTGGTACTATATACCTTTCCATGTGATAAACTAATAAAGTTTTTATAATACCTTACATGATATTGACTTTCTCAACTTAAATATATGAGATTATGACTTTAACCATATTTGTTAATCTTATATTGAACAAGAATCTTTTTGGATAACCAATTAGGCTAATGTTTAAAATATAAAAACAACATGGTCTTAAAAGTTTGTCCTCCCTGATTATACAAGAAATGTATATTTATTGTTAAAAATAGGGGAAAATAGAGAACTATTAAGAAGAAAAATCTTGTAATCTCCTATAGCCTATCCTCAGTATAGCAGCTGAATACTTTTTTTTAATCAGATCATTCTACTGCTCTTCTCTCTATATCTCATTGATTTCACTGAATCTTTATTCATTTATTTATTTATTTTTATTTTTTGTGGAGAGGTGTTCGCTATAGGGCACGTGCGCTCGCCAGACAGACAGAGAGAGATATAGAGACAGAAAGCGAGAAATCACCCCCCAGGGGGGATGGTCACGCCGCAATCACTTCTCCTCGCTTCTCCTCTCTGGATCTTGGGCACGCACGCACATGTGCCCGGCGTGAGTTTTAAGCCACCAGGTCCGGGACGCGAACCGCGGTTGACTATGTGGGAGTCCAGCGACATAGCCATTACGCTAACTGCTGGTTCCCAATTTCACTGAGTCTTGATGAAGAGAGAAAATCATCCCCAACAGGGTTTCCTCACTGCAGTCCACTTCCAGGCATGGCTGGCCCAGATCATGGACACGTATCTGTGCCTGGCATGCTCCAAGAGATCCCAGGATAGTAACCCAGGACTTTTTCCATGTAGGTCTGGTTGCATTACCATTGCCTGGCCCCATGTTGCATAATTATTTATTTTCTCTTATCCAACTTTCTCACTAGAGACAGCCTTTGTTGATTCACTGATCTATTCTTTGATTATATATCCCCATAACCTAGAACAGTGGGTGCCTGGCACAAAGTAGGTGCTTAGTAAATATTTGTGGGAAAAATGAGTCATGCAAAAAAACTATTAATGTTTTTATGTGTTTTTTTTCCCTGTCACTCTTTTGTGTTTATGCATGTGTGTATGGATATGTATTTTTTTCAGAAGAGATTTTATGCTATAGGGCACATGCGCTTACCAGAGAGAGAGAGACAGAAAGTAAGAGATTGCTTCCCCAACCCCCTCAAGGGGATAGCCATGCAACAATTCCTTCTCCCTCCATTATCCTCTCGGGATCTTGGGGCACACATGCACACGTGCCCGGCATAAATTTTAATCTGCTGCATCCAGGACTCGAACTGCAGTCAACTACATGGCGGTCCAGCAATGTAACTGTTCCGCCATCTGCTGGTCCCATATGGGTATACTTTTGCTATTTGTGTATCTGTATTTAAACTCTTAAAAATTGACATACTTTCAAATAGATTCATGACCTGCTTTTTTAACTTTTATGAGAATTCTCCAGTGTTAACATTCTTTGTAATCACAATTGTTTTCATTCTATTTAATAAAAATTACATATATATTTACTTCTTTTCATTGGACATTTTGTTTTTGTTTCATTTACAACAAGTTGGGTTTTAAATCTCTTTCCAGGCGGGCATATACCGCATCTCTAGGAGAGACAGCAGTTGCATTTGACTTTGGGCCATTGGCAGCAGTCCCCAAGAATATATTTGGACAAAAAGGCAAAGATGAAGTGGTGGCATACCCACTGTACATCTTATATGAGAATGGAGAGACTTTCCTTACATACGTTAGTCTCTTACACAGGTAAGCTGAAGTGGCAACCCACCTGGGCTCTAGTATAGATTGTCATGGGATCCATGAAGGTATTTTGTACTTCTTAAAAATGTTTTTAAATTTGTTTATTTCCTCTATGAGCAAGAGAGAGAGAGCACAGTCTTCACACTACAGTCCACCTGCCTCCTCAAGTAGCCCAGATCATGGGCGTGTATGCACCCAGTGTATATAGGGAGTTCTCCAGGCATGAACCCAGGACCTTCTTATATGTGTCCAATTGTTACTGCCACACCACCATCTGGCCTAGGATATTTTTGAATTTGTGGAAGTATTGCAGCTTTAGCTGCTTGGCTTCCATATTTTGAAGAAAGTTGATACAGATGATTTGACCTTTCACTCTTTCATATTTGAAAAAGTTCTGTAGAATTCCTATATAATAAAATGGGACTGGGTTTGTGTTCACCAAGTGTAGCTGACTAAGAAATTACTTACTGTTTATCTGATATGAACTAGGTGTACCATGGGGATTAGACATGATAATCTGGTGTCCTGTGTCACAGTTGTGTGGGGAAAGACATGAATACAAAATTGTCCATACCAAATTATTGGTACACAGATAGTAAGAACCCAAAGATAGAGATCATTTTGACTAAAGAAGTTATGGGAATTTTTATAGAGAATGACTTAATGTCATATGGGACTTGAAGGTCTCATGCAGGGTTAAATGAAGCAGCAAGGAAGGGGACAAATATTTCACTCATAAGGGCAGCTTAAAATAGAATACGAGGGGCAAGTAGATAGTGTACTGGTTATGTTGCTGGACTCCCACACAGCTGAGCACAGTTCAAGTCCTAGAACCAGTGGCTTCAGAATCACACTGGGTGTGTGTGCATACATTCCCAAGGTCCTGGAAGGAGAATGGAGAAGAGATTGTGGTGTGGCCATTCCCCCCCCCCGGAGGGGATTTCTCACTTTCTCTCTCTTATAAGCACATGCACTCTAAGACAAAAACCTCTCAAAAAACATAGAATATGAAAACAAGCAAGTGTAAGGATCCTTTAGGGTTTAATGAATGATTAGACATTTTGGGCTACTGCAAGGAATTTATGTAAGAAGCATTAAGTAATAAAGGTAGAATTTTCTATCCAGGGAAATTTTGGTGGAGTTAAAGCTTATTTAAGGAGTATAGGTCTTTTCTATAGGAATAAGGTAGTAGAAAGCCAGTGGTTTCTAAGCAGGAGATAGATAAACTTGCAAAACTGAGCTTATTAGAGTCTACAACAGTGATCTCCAGCCCTCCCAGCACCAGGGACCAGCCTCTTGGAAGACAATTCCTCCACAGACAGTGCAGAGGGGGTTGGTCCAGGGATCATCCAAGCACACTACATCCACCATGTGTCCCATTTTCACCATTACCGCATTGCAGTATGGTGAAACAGTCGCACAGGTAGCATGCTCCTGTGAGAATCCAGTACTGCCACTGATCCACCAGGAAGCAGAGCCCAGGCAGCAATATGAGCAATGAGGAGAGGCTACAAACACAGATGAAGCCTCAAGGACTGTTGAGACTGGCAGCAGTCCACAGCTTGGCCCCCAACAGGCTGTTGCTCGACACCCCAGCCCAGTGATTTGGGGAACTCTGGCCTACCAGAGTTTAAGGTGGTAATAATTTAGTGGGAGAAATTAAACATAGTAGATGTGCAAAGTAAGGATACATAAATTTAGGTACTGTTTGGGTAGAGAGGTGAACCATTAACAGATATACTGAGGTCGAAAAAAACAGCTAATTTTGGAGAAAGATTTTTTGTTTGTTTGTTTTTGAGAAATATTTATTTTACAAATAGTGAGTATGAGACAATATTGGACCAGTAAAGTATTGGGAATACTCCATGACCAGTTGGAAATACAGGATGGTGAGAAACAAGAAGAGGATAAAAATAGAAGTATAGGGCTGGCCCCTTAGCCTAGTTCTTAAGGAAGCCTGATCCCTCATAGCTGTCTGTGATTTGAATCCTGGCACCAGCAATCTGAAAAATAAGCTGGGCACATCCAAATTCAACAGGATGGAGAAAAGAAGAGAAGAGATTGCTGTGTGATCACACTCCCTCTTCCCCTCTCTGGCAATTAAAATTCTCTGCACAGGGACCAGCAGATGGCATAATGGTTACATCACTGGACTCCCATGTAGTCAACCACAGTTCAAGTTTCAGACCCGGCCACTTAAAACTCAAGGCTGGGTGCCTGTGCGTATGCACCCAAAATCCTAAGAGGAGAATAGAGAAGGGATTGTGGTGGGGCCGTCCTTCCTAGGGGGTCGGGGGAATGATTTCTCGCGTTCTGTCTATCTCTATCTCTCTAGCGAGTGTACGTGCCCAATAGCTAAAATCAGAAAAAAAAAATTATTTGAACAAAACGGGCAAGCAGGTGGCATAGCAGTTAAGACACTGGATTCCCACATGGCCGACTGTGGTTTATATTCCAGACCTGTGATGGCTTGAAAATCACAATAAACAATTTTTTTTTTAAAACTCTGTGGACAGAGATTTTGGAAAAGTTTATAAAAGTTTGTAACCAAGGCCAAAACTGAACATTAGAGTTTATTCACTTATAGATCAACTGAGCAAGTAGATACTTATTCAGAATCCACTGTGGCAAAAGATGAAAATCTAGGATTGAAGGCAAGATCCTGGGAAGACATTAGAAAGTCGTTTTCAGAGAGATAGGAAGAGAGAACTAGGAGACAAGAGTTGTTATGGATGTTAAGAGTGTCGAGCAGCAGTGATTGTTACCTAGTAAGCAAGGGTCAAATGAACAATCTTTTGGATGTAGCAGCTAGACTCATGGGTAACCTTTACCACAGTAGTTTCAGTAGAGTGATGAAAACCAACCATAATAAATTTAGAGTAAAGTCTTTCAACCTCTACCCAGTTGACATTTTGGTTTGCACAATTTTTTGTTGTGGGGAGATTGTCTTGGGGGGAAACATTTCTGGCCTCTACCCACAGAAAGTCCATAGTGCCCCTCATTTCCCTGGTGTGACAACCCATAATATCTTCAGACATTGCCAGTGTTCCCTTAAGGGAAAAATTGCCTGTAGTTGAGAACTATCAGAATGGTGAAATACAAATAGGAAAGCAAAAAAGTAGAGACATTGGAAAAATACTGTTAATACATTTACAGTGAGGTATGATACCTAGAGGAAGGCAAAGTTGAAGAAATATTGTAAAGGGCATGGTTATCATCTGTCAACATTTCCTAAACATATTTGCACTCTTTGGTTAGCCCTGGGAATATCGGAAAACTATTGGGCCCATTGCCCATGCATCCTGCAGCTGAAGATAACTATGGATATGATGCTTGTGCTATCCTCTGTCTACCCTGTGTCCCCAACATCTTAGTGATTGCTACCGAATCAGGAATGCTGTATCACTGTGTCGTGCTGGAGGGGGAAGAGGAAGATGACCAAACAGTAAGTGCAGGCTAGCGTGAGTTTATTTTGTGTCTTTAACACCTCATGTAATAGTTCCTGGTCTGATATAAATGCTATATATGGAAATTATAGCTTATATCTGGTACTTCTCAAATTGGGGAAAGAAAACATTTAAAAGTAATTAAAGCACACTTAAAGATCTAAATGAAGAGACCAGCAGATGGCATAATGGATATGTCGCTGGACTCCTACGTAGTTGACCAGGGTTTGAGTCCTGGACACAGTGACTTAAACTCACGCCAGGCATGTATGCGTGCCCACCCAAGATCCCGAGAGGAGAATGAAGAAGGGATTACAACGTGGCCATCCCGCCTAGGGGGCGATTTCTCGTTTTCCATCTCTCTGTCTCTCTGTCTTTCTGGTGAGCACACACGCTCTATAGCAAGAACCTCTCCAAAACAAAACAAAAAAATAAATAATAATCTAAATGGAAACAAGTTAAAAGTTTCCCTAGCTTATTCGGTCCACCAACCTACGTATTCATTCTGACTTCTATTTACACCCTTCAGTATGAAGAACTTCTGGCCAGTAAATTTACTGTTTTCCAAACTTGTTTTACTTATATATTTTTATTTTTTAATTTTTGCTATAGGGCCTGTGTACTCACCAGAGAGAGACAGGGAGAGGAAGTGAAAAATCACTGCCCCTCAATGGGGAACTAGCCATACCACAGTCTCTTCTGTCAGAATTTTAGGCACGCACATCTGGTGTGATTTCTCAGAGGCTCGGTCCAAAATTTGAACCATGCACTTGGTTATGTGGGTTATGTGACAGCTGCCTTAATCTCTACACCACCTGCTGGCCCGCAAACTTGTTCATTAACGTCTTTCTAAAAGAAGAGAGACTTTTTTCTCTTTTAAAAATAATGGGGTAATGGACAAGCAGTTAGCATAATGGCTGTGTCGCTGAATTCCCATGTAGTCAACCACGGTTCGAGTCCTGGACCTGGTGGCTTAAATTCATGCCGGGCACGTGTGCATGCGTGCCCAAGATCCCGAGCGGGGAGTGGAGGAGAAGGGATTGTGGCGTGGCCATCCCCCTGGGGAGTGATTTCTCACTTTCTATCTCTCTGTCTGTCTCTGTCTTTCTGGCGAGCGCACGTGCCCTATAACCAAAAAAAAAAATCTCAGAAAAAAAAAGGGGACAATATTAAGATGGAAGGGTATATGATTAAGAATTTAAGAGTGCTTTTTGACCCAGTTTTTTCCTTCAGTTTTTTAAAATATTTATTTATTTCTGTGGTTTTTTTTTGTTTGTTTGTTTTTGTTTTTGTTGTTTAATTTGACTAGAGAGAGACAGGAAGAGAGAGAAAGGGAAAGCAAGAAAGCAAGCTGCCAGGTCCAGGCTTCAAACCACATTCGACCATGTGGGAATCCAGTGCCTTTAACCGCCATACCACCTGCCAGTCCCTCAGTTTTTAATTATGTACATTTTCAAATGAACATGGAAAATAAAAAATTATACTTTTTTTTACAGTCAGAAAAGTCCTGGGATTCCAGGGCTGACCTTATTCCTTCTCTCTATGTGTTTGAATGTGTTGAGCTGGAACTTGCCCTGAAACTGGCATCTGGGGAGGAGGATCCCTTCGATTCTGACTTTTCTTGTCCAATCAAACTTCACAGAGGTAAGTAAGGTATTCATTGAATTTCTTTCTTTTATCGCATTATGTTTATATTAAGACTACTCCAGGTGCTAGGAGGTGGTATAGTGATTAAGGTAATGGATTCCCGTGTAGCTGAACTCCGTATAAGTCCTGGAACTGGAGGCTTGGAAATAATGCTGGGAACATGTGGAAACGTGCCTAATATCCCAGGAGGAGAATAGAGGAGCACTGGTATGGCCATCCCCCAAGGGATGATTTCTCACTTTGCCTCTTTCTGTCTCTGTCTCTCTCTCTCTCTTTCTCTGGTTCATACATGTGCCTTATGGCAGAAACCTTTAAAAATTATTTAATTGGGACCAGCAGATGGCATAATGGCTATGTCACTGGACTCCCATGTAGTTGACCACAGTTTGAGTCCCAGACCCGGTGACTTAAACTCATGCTGGGTGTGTGTGCGTGTGTGCCCAAGATCCTAAGAGGAGAATGGAGGAGAAGGGATTGTGGTATGGCTATCCCCCCAGGAAAGTAATTTCTCACTTTCTGTTTCTCTGTCTTTCTGGAGAGCGTGAGTGCCCTAAAGCAAAAACCTCTCCCCCTCCAAAATAATGAATTAATTAACTAAATATAAAAGACTATTTCCTCCTGTTCCCATGTAACTTGTTCTGTAGTTCCAGCCTTTAAAAAGTTGACTGGGTTACTTTTGGCCTTTTAGCCAGTACAGTATGCTTTTCTGTCCAAGAGAGACTAAGCAAATTTCCCAAGTTGAGATAGTGGTCTTTGGTCTGGATCCACCTGGATTTATAATAGTAAATTTTTCCAGGTCCTATCAAAAGTAGATTTCATGATTCAAATACTTAAATAACCTTAAATAACTTTAAAAATAACTTCAAATCAAATTATAATATACTGATATGTTAAGATACCTTTTAAAAATATCTTTAATTTTAGGGACCAGCAGATGGTGTAATGGTTATATCGCTGGACACCCATGTAGTTGACCGCTGTTCAAGTCCTGGACTGGGTGGCTTAAACTCAAGCCAGGCACATGTGCCTGCATACCCAAGATCCCGAGAGGAGAATGGAGGAGAAGGGATTGCGGCGTGGCTATCCTCCCTGGGGAACGATTTCTCGCTTTCTGTCTCTGTCTCTCTCTGTCTTTCTGGTGAGCACACACGCCCTATGGCAAAAACATCTCTTAAAAAAAAATCTTTAATTTTAGAACACATTATTTTGTTACATTTAGACCTAATATGAATGTTATCTTCTATTTTCCCGTGTTTTTAACTTATCCAGGTTAGTACTAAATCATTGTGGCACAAAATTGTGTTCATCTAGGAAAATCTTGGACAAACTGCTGAAACAGTCAATCAAAGAATATGTTGTAACACAGACTGAAGAGTTTGTGACTAGGAGCCTGCAGTATTCTAACTCTGAGTTCTAGCTCTACCATGAATATGCTTTGTAGTCTTAGGCTCTCACTCAGCTTCTCTGATACTCAGTTTTCTCATCTGAAAACAATAGCATTAATATTATTTTATCTCTAAGGGACCTTCTGAAATAAAAATCTTATAATATATTTGCTCCTCCACCCTTTAGATTTAAAATCTTGTCTTTCCACTGAAGAACAAGAAACAAAAGTTTACTCCTTCAGGAGTAATTGGGTATACCTCTCATAGTTTTCTGCTGTGCAGTACAGAGAAGAATTCCATCTTGGAGTGGTTGACTAATCTGTTTTCAGCTCTCACTAGCCAGTTTGCCTGTGTTTGGTTAATAATAGCTTCAGTTCTGTATTAAAGTATAACCAAAACATTTAAGGGGTCAGGATTGTTTATACAGTAAACCAGCAAAAAGAACTTAGTGGGCATATCTAATTAAAGTGTTTTGAGAGATTATGTCTGAACTTTATAGATGAGGAAACAGACCTAGTAAGGTAAAGTGATGCAAACTAATTGGTTTCCTTATATAAAGTGATTGATATATACATATATATGTATATGTGTGTGTGTGTATATATATATATATGTGTGTGTGTGTGTGTGTGTATCAGGAAATCTCAAGTGTAGGCATTTTTTAAAAAAACTTATTAACTTTATTTGTTGTTATTATTTTTAAATTTGGACAGAGAGAGACAGAAAGAAAGGGAAAGTGAAAAGCAAGCCGCAAGGTCCAGGACTTGAACCATGATTGGTCATGTGGGAGTCTACCACCCTTCACCACCACACCACATGCCAGCGTCAAGTGTAGGCATTTTTTTGTTCATGGTTCTTCTAATGAGGAAAATTTCCATAAAATCTCAAAACTAAGAAATGTTTGATTTATTTGTATTTGTTCTTAAGGCATATTATAGTAATTAAAACACACTCAGATTTCTTTTTAAAATTATTTTATTTAATTTTAACTCATTATTTCTTCAATTTGATCAGAGAGAGATGGAGAGACAGACAGAAAGTAAGAAGCAAGCCACCAGGTCTGGGACTTAAACTGTGGCCATGTTGGAGTCCAGCGCCTTAACTACCATGCCATCTGCTGGTTACACCCAGATTTCTTAGTGAAAAAAAGTGAAATGGCTACCATATAACATGGGGGTGGTGTTTTGCAATTTTCCTATTTCAGTAACTAAATGTTGGCTTTTTTTTACAACACATTTCTGTTACTTTCTAATATTAAGATTTTTCTGTTGCCTTTAGCACCAAAAGAAGTTTTGTGTTTTTGTGTGTGTGTGTGTTCCTTTTTTGTTTGCTTGTTCATTTTTAGGTTTTTGCTGTAGGGGCCATGTGCTCTTTAGGGAGTCAGAGAGGGAAAGTAAGAAATCATTCCCCAGAGGGGATAGCTGTGCCACAGTCCATTCTCCTCCAGGAATTTTGGGCATGAATGCATACACGGTAGGTGTAATTTTTAAGCCACTGAGTCCAGGATTCATGTGAAAGTCTAGCCACCTTAACCACCAGCTGCCTGCTGGCCTCAGCACCAAAAAATGTTTGAAAAGCCACTTTAAACAATGATAGACCTGCTGAGATGGTTGGAGCCTTATGTCTTAAATATGGTCATATAAAGAGAATGTTTTCAGTATTTCATTGTCCAATACAAGGATGACTCCTATAAGCCAGGAAGGGACTTCTCCATTCTCCTCTTGAGATTTTGGGCACACATGCAAATGTACCTGGTGTGAGTTTCATGCCTCCAGGTCCAGGACTCAAACCACTGGCCATGTAGGAGTCCAGTGATGTAACCACCATGCCAAGATGCTAATCCCCTAGCACCTTTTTCTTTTTCTTCTTTTTCTTTTTTTGGGGGTTAATTTTTTACCATGGGGGTGTATGGGCTTGCCAGAGAAAATCAGAGAAAGAGAAATCCTCCCAGGGTTTGGCCATACCACAGTCCTTTCACCTCTATTCTTCTCTCAGAATTTTGGGCACACATGCAAATGTGCCAGGCGTGTTTTTCAGTCTGCCTGTTCAGGGACTCAAACTGCAGAGCCAGCCATGTGGGATCTAGCACTTTAACTACCACACCACCTGGCTGGCTCAAGAGCTTCTCTTTTACTCTCAGGATTGTGTTACTAATACCAGGACTCAAAGGAAGTATAGAATTTTTTGTCTATATAATAGGTACTCACATTTCCTAGTATAAATATTAGAGTACTTCAAAAGGTTTGTGAAGAAATGGAATTAAAGTACAAGTTTATTTTGGCACAAAACTTTTTTAAAAACCATGTGTCGATTTTTTATGATGGACATTTTCCAAGAGCTTTTTGAAGACTCCCTCTAATAAATGGTTGCCAAACAAAAAGCATAAACTTTAAAACTATAAGTCAGCATTATGATGAGGTAAAATTTCACACCTGACTTACTACACCATGACAGAACTAAGTATTCACGGAATCTTTCTAGTTTCTGTGGTGTAGAAGTGTATTTGCGGGTCACCTGGTGGCATACTTGTTAAGGTGTCTGTATCCTACATAATCGATTGTGTGGTTCAAGTCCTAAACCCAGTAGCTCAAAAAACACGCCACGTGCATGTACATGCATGCCCAGAATCCCAGGAGAATGGAGGAGAAGAGATTATGGCATGGCCATTCCCCCTGGTAGTGCTTTCCTATTTCCTTCCCTCCTTCCCTCCCTCCCTCTCTCTCCAATGAGCATATATTCCCTATAGCTATAATTAAAAAAAAAAAAAGTTCACTTGCTTCAACAGTTTCATGTAATAGATATGTGCATATATGAATTTTCTTTTTTTAATTTGCTATAGTGTCTATATGCTTGCTAGAAAGAGACACAAAGGTGGGAGGGTGAGAATGACCCTCCAGGTGGGAGGGCCACACTACAATACTTAGTCACCATTTTATTTTTATGAACTTTAAATAAATGTACAGAAGTGGACAAAAAGGCATAAATTATATCAAGTGTTTCTATTTTGTTGAACTCCATTGTATTATTTCAAAAGTAATATTTTTGGACTATATTTATTATACTTTTAAAAATTTTTTTTGAGTTTGTTTTTTTTGAGAGAAAGCCAGAGAGACAGGGTCCCCTGAAAGTACGTCACCATGCTATGATTCTCAATCCCTACTCCAGCCCCAGCCTTCTAATGGCCAGGATCACAGGCATGCCTACCTGGTATATCTAGCACATTCAGGTTGACCCAGAATCTGAACCCTGGGCCTTCACTTATGGCTCCAGAGTTGTGCATCTGTACCCTGTCACTTGAGCCACCACAGCTGAGCGTATTAATACTTTGTTTTAAATTTATTATATTTTTTGGAGAGGGTGCGCGCTATAGGGTGCGTGCGCTCGCCAGACAGAGAGAGACATAGGGACAGAAAGCGAGAAATCACACTCAAGAGGGATGGTCACACCGCAATCCCTTCTCCTCCGTTCTCCTCTCAGGATCTTGGGCACGCACGCACACGCGCCCAACGTGAGTTTTAAGCCACCGGGTCCGGGACGCAAACCGCGGTCGACTATGTGGGAGTCCAGCGACATAGCCATTACGCTAACTGCTGGTTGGCTCCCTGTTTTAAATTTTTTTAAGATTTTTTTTTTGGGGGGGAGGGGGACCAGCAGCTAGTGTAATGGGTATGTCACTGGACTCCCATGTAGTCGACTGTGGTTTGAGTCCCACACCCAGTGACTTAAACTCACTCCACACGTGTGTGTGTGCGTACCCAAAATCCTGAGAGGAGAATAGAGGAGGGATTGCGGCGTAGCCATCCCCACTGGAAGATGATTTCTCACTTTTTGTCTCTCTGTCTTTCCGGGAGCGCACGCGCTCTATAGCAAAAACCTCTCCAAAATAAAAAGAATTATTTATTTTTAATTTATTGTTACTTTTTAATTCACCAGAGTTGGGGGAAAGGTGAGAATGTAATCCTCCAGGTCCAGGATTCGAAGCATGTTTGGCCATATGGGAGTCCAGCACCTTAACCACTATGCTACCTCCTGGCCCCAAATTTTCTTTTTTTATTTTTTGACAATTTTATTTATTTTATTTATTCATTCATTTTTTTTAATTTGACCAGAGAGAGATACAGAGAGAAAGAGGGAAAGTGATAAAGCAAGCCACCAGGTCTGGGACTCAAACCATGGTCGGCCATGTGGGAGTTTCTAGCGCCTTAACCATCATGCCACCTGCTGGTCCCCTGGCCCCAACTTTTTAAAATCCTTAAAATATACTTGAAAGTGAAATTCAAATTTCAAAATTTCAGAACTTTTTTCACAGGACAACAATATAAAAGTCCTGTAGATTTTTCATTACTTTCACCAGCAGATGTGTTTGCAGGCTACTGGCATACATTCTTTTAGTTTTATAACGGCTGCCTTTATACCATTAATGATTCCATTTGCAGATCCCAAGTGTCCTTCAAGATACCACTGTACTCATGAAGCTGGTGTACATAGTGTAGGACTAACTTGGATTCATAAACTTCACAAATTTCTTGGATCAGGTAAGTTTCTTAACTTTCTGTACTTTTCAGTAGGTTTCACATGTTTCATCAAGAAAGTAGTTTGGGGGCCAGCTATTACGGCACAGTGGTAGTACTGGCTCCCTATAGTGCTGGAAGTCATGTGGTTTAGAGCTCAGGACAGCCTGAAAAAAGAAAAAAAGAAATTCCTTCAGGCACATGTGCACATGGATGACCATAATCCTGAGGCACTGGGAGGCTGGGGAAGGGAGATCGCAGCATGACAAGACCCTGTCACAGTTGTGTGTTTGTTCATTCTCTGTCTCCCTCTCCCTGCCCTCTTCTACAAATGCACACTTTCTGTCATTTAAAAAAATATATAGTAGTTTGGAAAAGAAAAATAATAGAAGAAATCAGTGAAACCAAAAGTTGGTTCTTCAAAATGATGGACAAAATTGGCAAACCTTTGGCTAATCTGACCAAGAAATAAAAGAGAAGGTTCAGGTTAGGACAATGAATAGTGAAAGGGGGGATATTACTACAGACTTTGTAGAAATAGAAAAGATTAGGTCCAGCTCCATTGCCTAATGGTTAAGGGAGCTGAATCCCATATCTGACAGTACAATTCAAATCCCAGACCCTGCAACTTAAAACCTGCAACTTAAAAAACGTGGTGGTGGTGGTATGTGTGTATCTGCCTGCTCAAAGTCCCAAAAGGATGGAGATAATGAGGAGAAGGGATTGTGATGTGACCATGATCACCCCATTGGGGGGTGCTTTCTCTCCTTCCCTCTCCCTTTCTCCGTCTATCTCTGGAGGGTGCACATGTTTACACTCTTGCAAATAAAAAAATACTGAAAAGGATTATAAGGAAATACTCTGAACAACTGTATGCCAATTAGGTAACCTAAATGAAATGGACAAATTTCAAGAAAAAAAACACCAAACCTAAAAGAAAAGGAAACATTTGAATAGACCTATAACTCAAGAGATTGGTTGGTAATCAGAAAATCATTCAAAAAGCCCAGGAACAGATGGCTTCATACTTAAAGAATTAATACCAATTCTTCACAACTTTTCTAAAAATTAGAGGAAGATCACTTCCTAACTCATTCTGTGAGATCAGTATTATCCTGATGCCAAAACTTGACAGAGACATCCAAGAAAAAATTACACATAGCTCTTAGGAATAGAGGTGGAAAAATTACCAACAGATTATTAGCAAACCAAATCCAGCAACACAAAAAAGATTATATACCATTACCAAATGGGATTTAGCTTAGAAATACAAGGTTAATTTAGCATCTGAGTTAAATTAATTAGTATATTGTACTGCATTATTAGAAAGAAAGAAAACATATTCATCTCAGTAGGCACAGAAAAAGAAATCCAACAGTTTTTTATGTTGAAACTACTTAACAGTGGGCCAACAGGTGGTTTGGTGGTTAAGGCACTAGACTTCCACATGGTCAACTGTGGTTTGAGTCTCAGACCCAGCAACTTAACAATCACACTGGGCACGTGTGGATGCATGCCCAAAGTCCCAAAAGGAAAATGGAGGAGAAGGGATTGTGGCATGGCTATTGAGGGTGGCTCTCACTTTCCCTCTCTGCAGTGAATGCACACATCCTATGGCAAAAAGCTAAAAGAAGAAACTAGTAATAGAAAGGCACTTCCTCATTGATAAAGGGCATCCATCTCAAAAACCCACAGCTACCAATGTGATTAGTGGTGAAAGACTAAATGCTTTCTGTATTGGCTTTCTACTTCTGTAATAAATCATCACAAACTTAGTGGACTTAAAACATCACGAATTTACTGTCTTACAGTTCTATAGTTAGAGGTCTTACATGAGTCTCACTGGGCTCAAATTGACAGAGCAGTTTGCTATCTGGAGGTCATAGAGAAGAGTCCATTTCCTTTTCTTACTCATCTTCTACCACAATCCTTGGTTTATAATCCCCATCCTCCATCTTCAAAGCCAGCAATAGTGGGGGAGCCAGCAGTTAGCATAATGGCTATGTCACTGGACTCCCAAGTAGTCAACCGCAGTTTGCATCCCGGACCCGGTGGCTTAGAATTCACTCCGGGCGCATGTGCGTGCGTGCCCAAGATCTTGAGAGGAGAACGGAGGAGAAGGGATTGTGGCGTGACCATCCCCCCTTGCATCCTGTCTCTCTGTCTCTGTCTGTCTGCTGAGTGCACGTGCCCTATAGCGAAAACCTCTCAAAAAAAAAAAAAAGCCAGCAACAGTGGGATAGGTTGAGTGCTTCTCACATTGTATCACTTGGACCTTTTTTGCTTGCCTCTTTTACTTTTAAAGAAACTGATAATTTGGATAATATCCCTATCTCTCTTTTATTAAAGATAGGCATTAAAAGAAAACTTTATTCATTTATTTTAAATTGCCTAGATTGAGAGAGAGAGTGAGAAAGAAAGCTGTCAGGTCTAGGACTCAAACAGCAGCTGTGCAGGAGTCCAGCGGCCATTCAGGAGTCCAGTGCCCTTAACCACAACACCAACTGCTGGCCCCAATATTCCTATCTTAAAGTCATGTGATAAGTACCTTTAATTTTATCTTCAATTTTGTAATGTAGCCTAAGATTTTTACAGTTTATGAGCATTGGGACTGGGGTATCTTTGGAGTGTCCATTATTCTGCATATTACAGTCTAACCATTAACCTCCTGAGAGTCACATGTTCCTGATTGCAAAATACATTCAACTCATCCCAACATTCTTAAAAGTCTCAAACCATAATAGAATCAACACAAAGTATAACTAGCATCCAAATCTCATGAGCTCAAAAATCCCAAATCTTTTTTTGGGGGAGAGTTTTTTGCTATAAGGTCCATGCACTCGCTGGAAAGACAGAGAGAGACAGAAAGCAAGAAATCACCCCCCACAGGGGATGGCCACACCACAATCCTTTCTCCTCCGTTTTCCTCTCGGATCTTGGGCACGCATGCACACGCGCCCAGCGTGAGTTCAAGCCACCTGGTCCGGAACTCGAACCACAGTCCACTACATGGGAGTCCAGCGACATAGCCTTTACGCCAATTGCTGTTTCCTGACACACCTATGACTTTTTTACTCAAACATGCTTTCCAGATAATACAGCTCTTTGTTTTAGCATCTTTTGCCTTCTAGATAGCCCGAGAATTTCCCAAATCATCAAGTCCTTGTCTCTTTTTGTTTAACACTTCTTTTCTCAATTTATCTCTGCATTTTACTACAGTCATCAAATGAGGCTAGGGCCAACAGGTGGCATGGAGGTTAAGGCTCTAGATCCCACATGGCTGACTCCACTGAGTCTCAGACTTGGAGGCCTGAAAATCACACGAGGCATGTGTGTATGCATGTCCAAAATCCAGAGAGGAGAGGAGAAAAAAAGGTATTGCAGTGTGGCCATCCCCCCAAAGGGTAGTTTTTTTTCTTTCTTTTATTTTTAAATATATGCTTTTATTTAATTATTTTTTATTTTATTTTAATTTGCTATAGGGCACATGCACTCATGAGAGAGTGAGAAAGCAAGCAACCATCAGGTCCGGAACTCACACTGTGGGTCGCCATGCGGGAGTTAAGTTCTTTAACCACCACACCACTTGCTGGCCCCAGCAGAGGGTGATTTCATTCTCTCTCTCTGTCTCTCTCCTCCTGATGAGTGCACACGCTTATAGCAATTAGTCAGTCAGTCAATCAGGACTAGCCAGTGGTGTGGTGGTTAAGGTGGCTGGATCCCTTGTGGCTTCCTGTGCAGATCAAGTCCCAGACCTGATAGCTTGGGCTTGAAGAACATTCTGGACACATGTGCATGTATGTCCAAAATCCCAAAAGGAGAAATGGAGAAGCGATTGCAGTACATGGCTGTCCTACATGGAGAATGCTTCTTCATTTCCCCCCTCTCTCTTTCTCCTCTGGCAAGTACATAACCCCTCTAGCAAATTAAAAGAAAATCACTAGGGGCAAGGATATAACAATGTAAGGGTATGATTTCTGGCATTGTCACAGTAAAAGGTTTATAAACTTAATCAAGAGAAATCCTACTTCTTTTCTTGGAGTAGAAATTTAGACCCCTGAGGAAAGCATACGTATCTCAGAAAGACATAGTCCTTAGAAGCAATGGTTTAAAATAAGAAATTGCACTTAAGTAATATTGTCAACTTTTTTTTTTAAGAGAAATTTTTATTATGGGGAGCTTGCACTTGTCAGGGAGAGAGAGACAGAGACACAGAAAGTGAGATGTCACCCCATGGGGGGAATGGCCATGCTGCAGTCCCTTCTCCTCTAATCTTCTCTCAGGATCTTGGGCACACACGCACCTGGCATGAGTTTTAAGCTGCCGGGCCTGGGAGTCAAACCACAATGTATTATGTGGGAGTCTAGCAATGTAATCATTACACCATCTGCTTATCCCTGTTGACAGCATTTTAATTTGGAGATTTGTGTAAGCATCAGTTAATTTATATAATATTTTCTTTTATAGATGAAGAAGATAAGGATAGTTTACAGGAACTTGCAATAGAACAGAAATGCTTTGTGGAACACATCCTTTGTACAAAGCCATTGCCATGCAGGTAAGACCTTTGCTCTCTTCTATACATGAATAGCAATTGTTGTTTCAGTAATTCACATATATATCTATCATAATCACATGCATGTGATTCATTGTTCAGTCATTTGCCAGAAAGTTATAGACATGATACTTCACCCCTAAGACTGTCTTGTTCATTTAGTTCATTCAGATATCAATATATTTTATATCTATGTTTGTTGAATATCTGTCACTACTAGAAGAAAATACATGGCTCATGAGGCAGAGATTACCTTTTCCTTTGTGTATGCTGTTTGTTTGATGTTTGTATACGCAGTGTCTAACAGAGTGCCTCATAGAAACTTAATAAATAGCTGAATAGAATAAATGGAAAGTGTCTAGGAAGACTCCCAGGTTTCTACATGGGATAACTAGGTAGATTAGTAGGTACTGGTACCCAAGAAAAATGAGGACATAGGAGAAAGAACATGCTTGCTAAGACAGAAGATGAGTTGATAGGCATCTGGAATTGTATGTTCCTGCAGGATATCCAAGTGGAAGAGTCCGATAGCGGTTGCATATGTAGGCCTTGAGTTTGGAGTGGTTGGGTCTAGGACAATATGAATCTGGGGACTATCAGCATTGGAGCCATGGTTTTGGTGACAGTACCACAAAAAGGGCCTAGAATGAGTAAAGAAGATATAAGAAGAGAGTCATGAGCAACACTTACTTATGCAGTAAGCAGTGGGTGAAGGCAGAGGAGCTCAATCTGGAAGAAATTTGAGAAAGAGCAGCCAGAGAGACAGGAGGAGAGCTGGATAGAAGGTACCAGGATTCCAAGGAGGGAATACTGTTTTTCCTTTGTTTTATTTTTTAATTTTATTCATTCATTCATTTCTTTTAATTTGACCAGAGAGAGAGAGAGCAAGAAAGCAGGCCACTAGGTCCGGGACTTTAACTGTGGTCAGCCATGTAGGAGTGTCCAATGCCTTAACTACCACGCCACCTGCTGGCCCCAGGAAGTGTTTCTAAGAGGCCACAAGCAATTACATCAATACACTACAATGCATTGAAGAGCAGGATCCAGTCTAGAATTTGCAATAAGGTGGACCACAAGGAAAGGAGGAAGAGGATAATAAACGATACCAGGTAGAAAAGTGAACAGGGAAAATATATAACAAAGTTCTGTTTATATCAGTTTCAAAAACAGATAAAAGTTAACAGCTTTACTTAGGAATGAAAACATAGATAGGAGAACTATAAAGCAAAACAAGGACATGATATCACAAAAGTCAACATAGTGGACTAACCATAGAGTCAGGCAGTAACGTAGCCCTCTGGCCCATGTGGGAAGTCCCAGGTTCCTGTTAGTCTGGAGGCTTCTCTGTATGTGCTGGGCATGTACCTGTGATCAGGTTAGGTGAGGCTGGGGGAGATAACAGCATGAAGACCCTGTTGGGCATGCCAGTTTCTGTCTCTCTCATAGAAGAAATAAAATTTGAAAAAAAAAAAAAGAACAGTGAGGGATCAGCAGGTGGTGTAATGGTTACATTGCTGGGCTCCCATGTAGTCAACCACAGTTCAAGTCCAAGACCTAGTGGTTTATAAGATGCCAGGCACTTGTGCATGTGTGCCCAAAATCCCAAGAAGAGAATGGAGGAGAAGGGATTGTGGTGTGGCCATCCCCCTGGGGAGTGATTTCTTTCTTTCTGTCTCTGTCTCTCTGCCAAGCGCAATGCCCTATTGCAAAGATCTAAAAAAAAAAAAAAAAAAGGTAGTATTTCTGTAGAGAAATTAAACAAAGGCTATAACCAGGGAGGGTCACATAGGAATAAAGCCATAGGTCTCTATAGTGTTCCAGTTCTTCACCTGAATACTAGTTATATACACATATAAATGTACTCTCTGCAGATTTTACACTGATAATAAAATTTTAGATCCTTCCAAATCTCTCCTACTTACTCTACTTCCCCCTTAGATAAAAAGGAGAATGAGAAATATGAAAGAACTAGTAATTGTCAACTACTCTGTAAAGACTGGTGGTTCTAATGGGCAAAAGGAAAAGGAAAACAGGTTAAGTGGAGCTGGACTGTAATGGGGAGTGTTTGAATGGAAGAGATAGGAGATTGTCTGTAAGCTGAGGGGGCAAAAGACAGCGGGGTGATTTGAAACTATACAGTTGCTGGCACAGCCTTCAGAAGGTGTTAAGAGGAGGTAGCATTGATAATTCAGGGCCAGAAATGTGCTGTGGGCATGGGGTGGGACAGGCATGAGGGTCTGGAGAGAAACATGTTAGCAGAGAAGACAGTTTCCATCTTTGGGCCAAAATTCTCTGTTTCTTCTGTGAAATAGGATTGAGAGGGAAATGCAGCTATGCATACCAAATGAAAGTCTCATTTATAGATGTTGGGCTTCACTGAATGTTTCATGTGAGAAAGACTCTAAAGTTTTGTTCATGCAGCAGTTTCTGAGAACTTCATCTGTGGGCTATGTACACAAAGATAGGGCCGATGTGCTCGTTGGGCCAAAAGACATGAAGAACTTCCATGTGATTGAGCACCATTAGGCTGTGGATTCCGAAGGAACTCAGTTGGAGGGCCTCTAAAGTGGTAGTAACAGCTTAGTTCATACTCATCGGAGCTCTGTTACATGTTCCCAAGTCACCACTTCTGAGGTTACTGCACTGCTAGCGTGTCACATGCAGCTGTCTACCCAGGCCCAAGGCCACTGACCGCAGCTATAGCTTTGCTTTGGTCCCATTGTACTGCTGTTTTGTAACTTGACTATGACTGTGTGTTTTTGCAGGCAGCCAGCTCCAATTCGAGGATTCTGGATCGTCCCTGACATTCTGGGACCCACAATGATCTGCATCACAAATACCTATGAATGCCTCATCAGGCCTTTATTGTATGTCCCATTTTGTATTCTCTACACAGCTCTCATTAGTTCTATAATATATGTGGCTCTGGTTTATATTTTTGTTTGCAAAAAAAGAGCCCATGATACATTTATATTTTTGTGCTGCCCTGTTTTTGTTCTTTTTTATGATAGCATGCGTACATGTTCATGATAGAGTAAAAGACTGAGAAAGGGAGACACACAAGCACCCTTTGCAGGGTCTGGTCATGCCATGATCCTCTTTCTCCAGTACTCTAGCCCATTGGATCTTGGGCACTCAAGTGCATGCCTGGCATGCCTGAAGGCTGACCAGGCCAGGGACTCGAACCATGGTCATCTTACAGCACCCATCTTCTCTTGAGCAGTGCATTACCACTGCCCCGTGAAGTCAGCTGTGCCTTGATGTTTTAAAAAGAAAAATTTGAAGTCAGGGGCTAGGTGGTGGCATAGTGGTTAATTTGAAGTGGTAGAGTCTAAAATGGTGTGACAAACTAAGGTGCTTCCCAAGGTGACCTTTTATAAGGCAGAAAACATACATTCTTGTACTCTTATTAAAAGTTTCTTTTGGGAGCCAGCAGTTAGCATAATGGCTATGTCGCTGGACTCCCACGTAGTCGACTGCAGTTCGGGTCCCAGACCCGGTGGCTTAAAACTCACACCAGGCACGTGTGCATGCATGCCTAAGATCCCGAGAGGAGAATGGAAGAGAAGGGATTGCAGCATGACCATCCCCCCTGGGTGGTGATTTCTCGCTTTCTGTCTCTATGTCTCTCTTTGTCTGACGAGCGCATGCGCCCTATAGCGAAGAAACCTCTCCAAAAAAAAAAAGTTTCTTTTGTTAGTTTATGTTCTCCAAGTTCTGGATAAATGTGGTTTATGCTTTCTTAGATACTTGTAAGTACTTAACTTCATGATAGACTAGGAATAATTTGCCTATTTATTTTCCAGAAGTACAGTCCATCCAGCGTCTCCTCCCCTGCTTTGTACCCGAGAAGATGTTGAAGTGACAGAATCTCCCCTCCGAATTCTGGCCAAAATCCCAGACTCCTTTGAAAAGCATATTAGAAGCATTTTGCAACGCAGTGTTACCAATCCAGCATTTTTGAGGTATGAGATCTTGAGCTCATAGATTTATGAATAGGTTCCCTGTTTTCATAATTATTGTTCATCTTTTCTGTGCTCAGCTGTTTCATATACTTTTTACTATGGCAGAGTTGGAAGACTAGAACATAATTAAATTTAATCAGCTAGAGAATGGAGGGAGTAGCACCTGAGATGATAAATAGAAGGTATTAAAAGGGGGAGGACAGCTGTGACTTAAGTCTATTTTCAGTTGTTTTATCAAGTAAGGAAAATAATGGTAGGAATTTTGTTTTTAAAGATCTACTGAAAAGGATATTGCCCCTCCTCCTGAAGAATGTCTTCAGCTCATCAGCAGAGCCACCCAGGTGTTCAGAGAACAGTACATTCTCAAACAGGACCTGGCGAAGGAGGAGATTCAGCGGCGGTATGGATGTCCTTTGTTCACAGACCATTAGTCCCTGGCTGGTACATAATGCTATGTAATAACCCTGACTTGACTTCTGATTCAACTTTTGTTCTTGAAGGGTCAGGTTATTATGTGACCAGAAAAAGAAACAACTAGAAGATCTTAATTACTGTCGAGAGGAGAGGTAAGTGTCAAAACTGGGGAGAGGAAAGTAATAGGTTGATTGTCTCATCTTGAGATGCTGAGCCTCACTTGGTCTCAACATCAAGGTGGCACCAGTAGTCCCTCGTTTCTTGCCATTAGGAAAAGTCTACGGGAAATGGCTGAGCGCTTAGCTGATAAATATGAGGAAGCCAAGGAAAAACAAGAAGATATCATGAACAGGTTAGTGGGCTATATAGCATTAGTTCCCTATTTAAATGCTAACAATGTTACCAAATACTCAGTTATTAACTTTGTTAGTAAGAAAACTAACCTTAGCTGGTGCTCCCATACTTACAGAACTGAACTGATCCCCTGGGACCAGCAGTTGGCGTAATAGTTATGTTGCTAGACTCCCACGTAGTCTACCACAGTTCGAGTCCCAGACCTGGCAGCTTAAACTCACACCAGGCGTGTGTGCATGCCCAAGATCCCAAGAGGAGAATGGAGAAGGGATTGCTGCATGGCCATCCCCCCTGGGGGGTGATTTCTCGCTTTCTGTCTCTCTGTCTCTGTCTTTCTGGCAAACACACACACCCTATAGCAAAATCCTCTCAAAAAAAAAAAAAAAAAGACTAAACTGATCCATCAGTACGTGAGGGAAGACATGATATTGTCCTCTAACCCATCCTGTGGGGATCTCCTTCACTGACACCAGAGTCTTGAATTACGAACTTTATTTGGGATTGGGTTTCTCCTGATTAGCAGAGGTGTTAAGCTAAGACATTTATTTCTTCTAAAGGATGAAAAAAGTACTTCACAGTTTTCACTCTCAGCTCCCAGTTCTCTCTGACAGTGAGAGAGACATGAAGAAAGAATTACAGCTGATACCTGATCAACTTCGACATTTGGGCAATGCCATTAAACAGGTAGGAATGGATGGAAGGTGGCTAAATTTGGTATTTCTTAAAACACTGTTCTATAGGAAATGATCTTGTAAAATGTAAAAAGAACAGATAAGGGCTAACACATGGCATGGTGATTTAGACAGCTGGATTCCACATGACCATCTGTACAGCTCAAGTCTTGGGCCTGACAGCTTGAGAAACACACCAAGTGTTTCTGCCCAAGATCCCAACAGGAAGGAGAAGTAGAAAAAATATTGTGGCATGACCATTCCTCAGAGGAGATGCTTTCTCACTTTCCTTCTGTCTCCAAGTACATGCATCCTCCGGCAAATTAAAAAAAAAAAAACTGTGAAAACGCATGGCAAACTATAGCCAAAACATCCCTGTTCTATTTTTAAGGTTACTATGAAAAAAGACTATCAACAGCGAAAAATGGAAAAGGTACCAAGTCCTCAGAAACCTACCATTATTCTCAGTGCCTACCAACGCAAGTGCATTCAGTCCATCCTAAAGGAGGAGTAAGTAAATTCGCCATCAGCTCTTATAGCATGGTAGTCTATCCTTTGCAGTGTGCCAGTCACCTTCTCTCTGCCCAGAAAAGAAACCTAAGTCTTGACATTTGTATGTCAAGTAATTACTGGGACAAAAGCCATATGACAGAAAAGAACTTAAGTGAGTATTAGGGGTGAGAGAGTTAGAGGGTCAATCAAAAATTATGGTTTTCCTGTAATATGATTTTGTTGTATAGCCAAAGATATTTCCCAGTGGATATATTATTCTAAAATATTTCCAGGAGTTGCACCGCTATTTGCCACTTGAAATGAATAGTGAACACCACTGCTATTCATCTGAAACAAACTGAATTTTAGCAAAGTAATCCTTAGATATTTTTAAATTACTAGTTTAAATTCTTAAGAATCCACACTAACGGCTTATTCATTCATTGCATTTCCCAAAGTGAGTGACTTTATGATTTTATAGGGGTGAACACATAAGAGAGATGGTGAAGCAAATCAATGATATCCGAAATCATGTAAACTTCTGACATCACCAGGAAGAGATTCACAACTGAAGTTTGTACAACTGAAGGCTTAAACCTATATTGTAAAACTAACAGGTAGCATTATCTAATTTATAAAGACATTTTGAATGAACTCCGGTGTGATTATCTTTTGTATTTTATAATTATTGAATAAATACTTCTACTTAAAAATTGGAATGTGTTTAATAAGTGCAGTCTATGATTGTAGTGAGCAAAGGCCCACGATTTTTTTTAATCCTGAGACTTCCAGCTGCATATTACCAGATCTCCACGAACCTACTGTGTTTCTCCATATTTAAGCAAGAATTAATAATTAACAGCTGCATTTTAAAGTAGAAACCCCAAAAATATAATTCTTGACTAGAACAGAATGCTAGGATTCAAAGGAAAAGGCCACACAATATACTCAGCAGCAGCTTTTTTAATTTGAACATTTCCTCTTAACACGCCTTCAGTACAGTTAACAAACAGTTAAACCTGAAATCCACTCAGAAATAGAGCGCAAGATTCACAATTGCAAAGGCCACCTCGGCTCACTTCCTCACAGGCAGTATGACCTTTCAGAGCTGTTCGTCTCCCACTACTTGTTACTGGGTGGGTGTGAGGTGCATGTTTAGCACCTCAAAGGGAAATAGCTTAGTATGCAGTGGTTTTGTCCTTAATTAACTTCAGGTCATTTTTTTTGTTTTTACCTACCAGTATGATTTCTGAAAGGTAATACTATACCTGCCTAGAAATGGCTGAGTGGCTGCCAATTAAAAGCCACATGGTAAGGTACATTACAGGTAAGAGGTAAATCAGGTTAGACATGCGTAGGAACGTGTGTGTACAGACTGAGTACAAACACAGGAACACTCGTGAAATCCAACTTATCTCTGTCTAGAGGGTTAAATCCCATCTCCTAAATCCGTTCTCAAGCAGAAAAACCAGTTTAAAGAATTGTTTCATACCAGGAATAGATTGTTACATAAAACCTAGAGTTAAAGTTTTCTTTCTAGGATACTTTTCTCAGTAAAGTGGATGCCACAGGTTTGTATCTGCCACAGTAGAGAACACTAACAGGTCACTAATCATAATGATTTTATTGTCCCAGTACCATCTTCTGTAGAGAGGTGTCTGTAAGGTGCCCAGCCAGAGCAAATCAGCTGTAGTTCCAAAGTCAAAAAAAAAAAAAAAAAAAAAAAAAAAAAACCTTTCAGAGCTGTTCGTCTCCCACTACTTGTTACTGGGTGGGTGTGAGGTGCATGTTTAGCACCTCAAAGGGAAATAGCTTAGTATGCAGTGGTTTTGTCCTTAATTAACTTCAGGTCATTTTTTTTGTTTTTACCTACCAGTATGATTTCTGAAAGGTAATACTATACCTGCCTAGAAATGGCTGAGTGGCTGCCAATTAAAAGCCACATGGTAAGGTACATTACAGGTAAGAGGTAAATCAGGTTAGACATGCGTAGGAACGTGTGTGTACAGACTGAGTACAAACACAGGAACACTCGTGAAATCCAACTTATCTCTGTCTAGAGGGTTAAATCCCATCTCCTAAATCCGTTCTCAAGCAGAAAAACCAGTTTAAAGAATTGTTTCATACCAGGAATAGATTGTTACATAAAACCTAGAGTTAAAGTTTTCTTTCTAGGATACTTTTCTCAGTAAAGTGGATGCCACAGGTTTGTATCTGCCACAGTAGAGAACACTAACAGGTCACTAATCATAATGATTTTATTGTCCCAGTACCATCTTCTGTAGAGAGGTGTCTGTAAGGTGCCCAGCCAGAGCCAAGAGCAAAACACCTGTGTGTCAAAAAAAAAAAAAAAAAAAAAAAAAAAAAAAAAACCACGGATTACCCATCCTGATATACAGCACTACTTTTAATAATTTAAAGAAATTAGCTTGGGGTTTATCCAAGGAACTAATTTTAAACCTATTTTGTAATTTAAATGGACGGCATTTTGAAATATAATTCCATTCAGTGAAGATATACGTGTATGTTTCCTTTACCTAAACCAAGTAGCACTTTACACAATGGGACTTTAAACCAATTAAAAAGTTTCATGCAATGGCAAGCCTTTAGCACAATTTCCATAATTAGTATTTAAGTTCATAATCATGAATGCAAGACTATAATAATAACCCAATGGGTGAGGTATGTAATCCTTATCATTTGTCCTGTGGAAGACAGAAGATCTGTAGGGCAAGTCCATATTGACTTAAAGACAATTCAACTCTCAGTTGATCGTGGCTTTAAGTGAACCAATATACTTATTTGACTAATTCCCATAAGGTTCTTTCAGGTACCCTGCTGTTAGGCAACACCAATTCCAAAAAGTATTTGAAAACAGTTTTACGTTTGAACCATCTGTGTGAAGAAGAATTAAACTGTAGCCTTCCACTGGATATTCCTGGGACAGAACTGCAGCAGGTAAACAGCAAACAAAAATCCATCCTTTGTGCTTTCTGCAATACTTCCTAAAGCCGTGGCAAGATACCCTGTTTCGTTGAAGCTTCCTCCACATAGGAAAGGAATATAACCTCTTGGAATATGACAGAACAGATTTTCAAACTGATCAATATACTAACTGGCTTTCCCCACCTTCACCATAAGCACTGTTACTTATGCTCTAAGTCTAAATTTAAAAAGAAAAAATTATTCAAACCTAGTTACTATTTTTGTATTTGACACTTTAGAAACAAATGGTATTCAAGCCCACTGATTCAAATTGAAAATAAGATTTATGAATGTATACTAGATGTCAGGCATCATCTGTTTTATTAATATTCTTTTTTTCCCCCCCACTGATCCAATAGCTAAACTAAAACACTTCAAGAGTAGATGGTGCCAGTTCAGCTTTACCCTGGTATGAAAATCATCCAGGTATACAGAAAAAGTGCTTCCAAACAGTTTGTGCTTTTCCTTTAACCTCATTTCCAACATACATAGATAGCCCCCCCAGCCAAGGTTTCAAATTTTCATAATTTATTCAGTTTTTGAATTGGTTCCTTTTGTCAGTCTTACAGTTCTCAGACAAGTTTTCAGTAGCACTTAAGGTCCTCAATACAAAATAAAATGATAAAAAAAAAAAAGCATGAGCTAAGGAAACAGTCAATAGCCAATGGCCTGCTCTCAAACTTCATATTTTAATATAAAATATTCATACAGCATACTACAGTGTCTGCTAGCTGAATACTGTTACTGATGAGCTCTAGACAACAGAAAAGAATTCTCTCCCAATATCTATGAACAGAAAATGTACTTCCAAGCACTATTAGGATGATGTTCTGGGGTAGGGAGATGTATTTCAAACATTGATTTTGGAGAAAGCAGGCAAGGAAACAGCGCTTCTTCCATCACCAAATCTGATCCCAGGCCCATTGGCATCAAGTCCGAGTTTTGTTAGTGTTCCCATTTGAAAGGTCTTTCTGCTGCACATCATCCTGGCTGCTGGCTGCTCCTGTGCTGCACAATCGTCTCCTACTAGAAATAAACATTTCTCCGGTCTTCCTTTTACTGTGACTTCTGCTTCTTCAGTTAAGAGTTAAATAATAATTAATGTTGCTCTAAAGATGAGTTAAAAACCCAAAGTGCAGGCTAGAATCCTGCTATTGGGATGTCATGTCTCAGGGAGCTGGTTAATGTCTGTCAGTTTGGTATCATTCAGAATTGCCCGGATCCTTTCCAAGGAGTCTGCTTGCCGGATCCGTTCTAACTGTACCTGGAGAAACAATGGTTTGGTAAGTGCAAGAGTAGCTCTTACCTAGACATTCTGACCTATACTTTGACTGGCTTAGCTAAGGTGCAGCAGAGAAATTTACCAAAGTAGTACTTCAAATAAGAGACAGCAGTAATTACAAACCAGTTCCCAAAGCACTGTGTAACAGATGGCAAAGTGCTAGGATTATAGAGATGAATGAGACAGAATCAGTCTCAAGTTCAGTTGAGGGAAAATAAGCTTACAGAGAGCTTTAGTACAATACAGGCATTCACAGGTACCAAGGGAATGTGGTGGAGGGAGGGGGGCACTTGAGCCCAACTCTGGGACCTAGAAAGGAATACACAGATAGGGCAAGCCTAAGCTGGGCCTTGAAAGAAAGGAGTCTGGAGAAGATAAAGGATGCTTACCAGTAGGAACACCACACTGGGCAAGGAACCATGGTAGGTAACAAAAACATGAAGGCATGAAATAAAATGCAGAGGGCTGCCAGGTGGTTTGGTGGTTAAGGCACTGGACTCCCACATGACTAACCATGGTTCAAGTCCTGGACCTGGCAGTTTGCTTTCTTACCTTCTCTTTCTCTGTCTCTCTCCCGCCAAATTAAAAGATAATTATAACAATTAGTTGAATAAAGGGACCAGCAGTAATGGCTATGTTGCTGGACTCCCATGTAGTTGACCGCTGTTCGAGTCATGCCGGGCACATGTGCATGTGAGCCCAAGATCCCGAGAGAAGAATGGAAGAGAAGGGATAGCTGCATGGCCATCCCCACTGGGGGGTGATTTCTTGCTTTCTGTCTCTTTCTGGCGAGCACACGCACCTTGTAGCAAAAACCTCTCAAAAAAAATAGTTGAATAAATAGTAATTCATTTTAAAGAAGGAAAGGGAAGAAATAAAAGGCAGAGAGATAAACAAAATGTAGGGTTAGGTCTGGCTGGGAAGAGTCATATGGTATGCTAAACCTGGCTTGAATAAACAGGCAGATACAGGGTACAGGGAGAACAGTTGTGGTCTCTCAACCTTTAGCTACTATCAGTGGTTAAATCAGGGACAGGCAGGGTTCTCTCCTCCAAAAATGCCTTAATGCTTTTTGTAGTGGTTCTCAAAGTCCTCACCTGAAGGGTCTGTGAAAGCTTTACAAAATCTCTCTGTACTTGTTCACTGACATCTAATTCTGTCTGTAATCTCTGAGCTTTGTTCTTCTCTTCAAACATGAGTTGTTCAGTGGCAGCCTAAAAAACACAAGTTTTGGATGAGGATTAATGCCAAAGAGGCAAAGGTCAGAATTACTTAGGAACTTATAGTTGCCTAGTACTGTTGAGTCATCGAAAAGTCATGACATGTTTTCCTATGCAAAACTGCAACATGACTTCCGACAACCCAGCAGATGGGAAGGAGGAAGTTCACCATACTCAGATCTCTCATAAGGCAAGGGTGCAAGTTGGCTAGGCTACTACCCAAATGAACTGAGTATGAAAGTCAGAAAAAGAAATGGATTAAAGTGCTGAACCTTCACCTCCACCCCCAACAGCTAGTGACAGCAATTAAACATCAAGACACAACAGCTAGGATCAGGAGCTGTCACAGCAACAGGCATGGAACTTCAGAGGTTCTCTCTAACAGCCTAACAGTCAAGCATCCACCAGGGAAATTCGGCTGATGTGCCCAGGCAGTCTCATCCACCTGCAGTTTTCCTTATACAGAGGCACTCTAGCAGGACATATTGAAGCCTTTCTAAAAACAAGTGTTTCTGTACTTGAAGGTCTAAGCTTCTAGGAAACTTCCCCCACAATTAGCCACTTGCACTTTTATGCTAACTGGACTAGTCAATATTTAGGCAACAAATCTGGTTCAATGCATTCTTTCGCTTTGATACATCAATCAAATAGGTTGACATTTTCAATGCAGTGCTTCTCACTGAGCAGCGCTCAAGCTTGGTTCAATGGCCCTTACAGCCACTACCCAAAGCCAGAAAACACCACAGGCCTCCAAAGCTGGTAAGCGAACATTTAACATAGCTCTATAGAGGTCATTTCATTTTCTTTATGCAAGCTGATAGTCTTGCCAACTTTCAGAAGATGAAAGCAGCAATGTTTTTCTTTGGAAATAAGTGAGATGTGATCTGTTTTATTAAATAAATAATAATAATTACCTTGGCAGCAGTCTCTTTCTTTAACTGTTCCTCCAAAGAGATCTTTATCTCCTGAAGACTCTCAAGTTGCTGAGATGTCTCTCTTAATGTGCACTCCAGCTGTGAAATTAAAAAGGAAAAAGTTAAAACTCAAAAACACCTTGCAGGCCACAGTGCACTTGCCCAAAGGAGGTGCAGCCCATAGAATTACATCCAAACTCTCATGTCCTGGACCCTGGCCACGTTTGGAATGCTCTTCTTACCCATTGAGCTTTGTGGATTGCCTTCCCCTCCCCAGATCTACTCTTTCATTAACTGTTTATTAAGCATCTATTATATTTTAAGGCCTGGAGAAATCAGGAGAGAGAGATATGTAAATAATGACAGCATATAAACATGAAAAAGCATTTGATTCTGCCAGGACAGTTGGGAAGGACTTCCCGGAATGGATGACATTTGACTCTTAAAATATAACTATGGGGGGGGGAAAAGGGTGTGAGGAGAGAAGGTGGTGAGGGAGACTCCAGCAAGAGAGAATGGAGGTCATATGTAAAATGCATTAGAGAATACTGGTGAGTTCTGCTTGCCAACAGCACAGTGTTGGAGATGCTGGAGACAGGCTGGACAGGCAGAGTGAGCAGTGAGGCAGGAGATCTCTGGCTGGGCTAAGGGCTTTGTACTTGATCCTGTATGTAAAGGAAACCACCAGAGGTTTTTCAACTAAGCTGGAATACAATCAAATCTTTAATTTTTTTAAAGAATTATTTTATTCAACTTTATTCATTTAAATCTGACCAGAGAGGGACAGAGTGAAAGAGAGGAGGCAGGCAGGGAGAGGGAGGGAGAGAGGGAAGGAATGTGAAAAAGTAAGCCCCCAGGTCCAGGACTCCAACTGTGATCAGCCATGTGAGAGTCTAGCGCCCTTAACTACCATGCCACCTGCTTGCCCCCAAATCTCTAATTTTAAAAAATCACCCTGGGGTCCAGCCTAGGTAGTCCTTAGGATAATGGACTGTAGCCACATGCCAGCCACAGGTGTGGCATCCTCTGGTTGACCTAAGGACAAGTTGAGCCGGGGTTCCTGAGGTGCTAGAGGGCTGAGGAAGGGGGATCATGATGTTACAATGGCCCACTAAGGGTGCTTTCTCTTTCTCACTTGCTCTCCTCTCATGCATGCACACATGTTTTTGTTTGTTTGTTTGTTTGTTTGGTTTTTTGGGGGTTTTTTTGCTATAGGGCATGTGGGCTCACCAGAAGGACCAAGAGACAGAAAGCGAGAAATCACCCTCGGGGGGAGGGGGAAGGGTGGCCGCAATCCCTTCTCCTCTCGGGATCTTGGGCATACATGCACACATGCCTGGTGTGAGGTTTAAGCCACTGGGTCCAGGACTCAAACCGTGGTAGACTACAACATAGGAGTCAAGCAATACAGCCATTATGCCATCATTTTCTTTTTTTTTTTTTTAGATCACCTTGGTTTCAATATAGAGATGAACTGAAATGGAACAGATTTTGGAGGCAGGAAAACAAGACTGTTAGCATAACCCAGATGAAAAGTCAAGTCTAAACCCAAACAGTGGCAGTGGGAGGAGAAAGGATTCTTCTGTGTAGAGCACAGATGACTTTTGCCAGTGAATGTCAGTACTAGAGTGGAAGCTGGAGGCGACTACGGCATAGTGAGGAATGACTAGGGGGTCAAGCAGATTACTCTTTCAAAAACCTTGGTAATGAAGGAAAGAAGAAAAGACTGGTAGCTTGAGAGACGTACAATCCAAAGAGAAATGTCTTCTCTATATGGGAGACGCCTTTTCCATTACACAAAATGGAAAAGACCAAAAAAGAGGCACTGGTGAGGGGATGATGGGATACCTGGAGAAGATAGAAGGGCTCTACTCAAAGCACCTATGCATGATACACTGTGTTCAAAAGTAGGTCATCGTTTTCTCTGAAGATCTGAGAAAGAGCGAGCTGGGAGTAAAAGTAGAACATGTGACTGAGGAGCCCAGGGCAGAAGGTGGTCCTGCTGATGACAGGAGTAAGGCCAGCATCTGCCTAGAGTGAGGGGGTCAAAGTGAGTTGTAGCTGAAATAGCCACTGAGAGGAAGGGAAGACACAACTCGGGACAAATGAAACGCTGACTGAGGAGCACTGGAGGCCCATCTGAGAGCAAGAGCACATGGTGCCACCAACTCTGGTGGCCTCAGCAGCTTGGGGTATCAACTAATCCAGAGCTGGACAGTTGCTGACAGAGGGCAGCAGATGGACAGGGAGTTTTGGGGAGTGCTGGTGGAGACCGGTCAGAGAGGCAAGCCTAAGATGCTGCTAAGGAAAGAAAGCAAAACCATGAGAAAGTTGTTAAAACTAGAGGAAAAGGAAAAGTTCAGGAGATCAAAGGTCTAAATAAGATACTCAGACCCGCAAGGTTAAGAACTGGAAGGTCAAGCAACATGAGGCTGGAGTGGGATGTCAGAGTGGGATAAGGCACACAAAGCTGTGGAAGGAAGGGCAGAGTGGAATCAAGGACCATGGAGGACAGAGGTTGCTATTTTCACAAAAAGAGAACTCTAAGCCTGCTAGAAAACACTGCCTTCTGTTTGTAGGAATTTGTGTACATACATGTACTCTAGCACATACCATGTCCTGACCAAGCCTCTCCTATCTTCACTCCACCCTCCTCCCTGCATCACCTCTAGTTAACACATCCCAACACAGGTGATGCTCGCTAAATGTATGCCATCATCATCGCACCCTTGGCCCACTCTATTCCCACTAGGTGGAACTTCCTTCAAGGCAGGGACCATACCTTAACACTTATTCCTAGAGTCTAATAAAGTAGGACTCAATAAATAACCACTGTCAGCTGCTGAAAGAATCCATTGGAAACTCATGACTCACCTGTCCTCTTTCTACTTTTAATCTTTCCAATTCAGCTTTTAGGCTAGAAATGGAAGCTAGAAGGGAAAGAGAAAGAAGCATTAGCATTAATATATTTTGCATTAAAATGTTAAACTTAACACACTTAAAAGGACTCAAATATGTTGGGGGGATCATTTCTCAAAATTATTCCCAACCCATCAGCATTACAATCAAGCTAAGGTAAAGGGACACACAAAAGGATACATGCCCTAAGCTACCTCTAGATAAAGTATGCACATGTAATTCTGTCAGGGAGAAAGGATATTTCTCACTGTTAACACATCAAGTATCTGCAAAGAAATGCTGCCCTTCGAATCATGTTCCCTGGTGGGCTGGGTTCAAAAACAGTTTCCTACCCATTATAATTGCCAACGAGGCCATCAGAGCTTCTAAAAAGACACTGAAGTTTTGTTTGTTTTTATTCCCAATTACTAGGTATATACCAGAATATCTGAAAAAATGGAGTAAGTCCACTGTCCTCTATATTTTTCTTTTTTCCACGTTCCATGACCAACCATGTATTACTTCTTATAATTAGGAAAGTTTTATTTAATGAAGTCAATTCTAAACTATATCACTTTTATCTTCACCTATTTCTTCCTTGCAGTTTTCTATTTCTAGCTGTAGAGTTTCTTCAAGGTTTTCTTTTAAACACTGTTCTGCTTGAATCTGCTCTTTGAGGAAAAGTATTTCGGCTTTCAGCTTCTCTTCCATGTGGTCTGCCGCTGTCCGCACATTAATGATGTTCTCTCGGTATTTTAAAACCAAATCCCGGAGTGCCTGGATTCAAAAGATGAACGGTCATGGGTTTGTGATGGAGAAAGGAAAGAGAAACGAAGCTACAGATTTTCTGAAACCAGAATTTCAAGTATTGTTTTAAATGGTTTAAAAATTAAGGCTCTGAACTTGAAGCCACTTAAGGTTTAAAAGGCAGGTGCCATGTCAGGTCAACATTCATTGTTATAGAAATAAGATACTTTCAGCCAAAAATGCATGTTGTAAACTACACATTTTTCCCTCAAAATTGTTTCATAAGCAGAATAATTCAAATGTTAAATGACTTAGAATATGAGATTTGCTAGCAATAACAGTTTGGGAGCCTTTAAGCTGAATGAATTTCAGAGGAATTAAGAGAATAAAGACAAAGACTGAAACTCAGAAGCAAGTGTGAACTCTAGGAAGATAAAATTCACTTTGTTATCCATGATTCATTTACTCAAACATTTACTGAACCTCTACCACAAAGTCAAAGGTAAGTAATGGTAAAGAATGGCTTTCGGGACCAGCAGTTAGCATAATGGCTATGTCACTGGACTCCCATGTAGTCAACCGTGGTTTGAGTCCCAGTGGCTTAAAACTCACGCTGGGTGCATATGCGTGCATGCCCAAGATCCCCAGAGGAAAATGGAGAAGGGATTGCAGCGTGGCCATCCCCGCTGGGGGGTGATTTCTCGCTTGCTGTCTCTCTATCTGACCATCTGGCAAGTGCACACGCCCTATAGCAAAAAATAAACCTCTAAAAAACAACAACAACAACAAAAGAATGGCTTTCAAAGTGAACAGCTCTTTCTCTTTTTTTTTTTTTTTTTTTTTTTTTTGTTGTTTTTTTGCCATGGGGAGCCAGAGCCAGAGAGATAGAGAGACAGAAGGTGAGAAATCACCCCCCGGGGGGATGACCACTCCGCAATCCCTTCTCCTCCATTCCCCTTTCAGGATCTTGGGCACGCACGCACGCACACGTGCCTGGCGTGAGTTTAAGACACCAGATCCGGGACTCGAACCACAGTCAGCTACATAAGAGTTCAGCGACATAGCCATTATGCTAACTGCTGGTCCCGACAGCTGTTTTTCTATCATAAATTCAGTTTACTAAAAAATTTTTTTCCTTAAATTTGAATTCTGTCTTCTTTCACAAATCCTTCCAATTATATCCTAAAGAAACTCTGAAGTAAAAAACTAGAATTCTTAGATTACTAAATGTATATAAGCTAAAGGACAGCAGTTTTAAAAACCACAATACAAGAAGGTCAGCAGGCGGCATGGTGGTTAAGGTGCTGAACATGGGAACATGGCAAACCATGATCTGAGTGCCAGACCCAGCAGTTTGAAAATCATGCTGGTGTATGTGAATGCCCAAAATCCCAGGAGGAGAATGGAGAAGGGACTGAAGCATGGCCATCCGCCCGGTGAGTGATAGCTCACTTTTCTTCTCTCTTTCTGTCTCCAGCAAGTGCATGTGTCCTAAAGCAAAAACAAAACAAAACAATCTTTAAAAAAAGCAAACAAACAAAAAAAGAAATATTTAATTATTATTGAAGTCTAAGAATAAAAACTTAATAGACTCGGGCTGGCAGGTGGCGTGGTGGTTAAGGAAGCTGGATTCCCACATGTCTGACCACGGTTCAAGTCCTGGACCTGGTGGCTTTCTCTCTCTCTCTCTCTGTCCTTCTCTGGTGAAATTAAAATAAATAAATACATAAAGTTAAATAAAATAATTCTTAAGGAAAAAAACCTTATAGACTAAACTGACTTCAATTTTTTAAATCTGGGAATAAAATATCACTAGATAACATGAAAGAAATCTTTCCTCTTCAAGAGAAAAGTCTAACAGAAGTGGAAGGTGGAAGGTGGCAGTGCAGTGATTCTAACATCATAGCAAAAGTAGACAGGATCCCAATGCCTTCTTTTTGATTTAGAGCAGTCACACTTCAGAGAGCAGAGAGGAGTGTCCCTCAATGTGCCAGCAACCTGGGCTGAGACGGCAAGTTGAAGGAAGATGTGACTGAGCAAGAAGTTGATAGCAAGACAGGCAACTGAGTCTCTGAAAAAGATCAGACTTTAAAGAAAATTTTGTCATCTTAATATATGTACAAGAAAAAAGAATGAGTTCCAAATCTCAGAGGCTGAACCTGCAAGGTAAGATTAGGGAAAATGTTTACTTATAAAATTAAAAATCAATGCCAACGGGTAATGTAGTGGTTAAGGCACTGGACTCCCACATGGTCGAATACGGTTTGAGTCCCAGACCTGGTGTTGTAAAACACACTGGCCACATGTGCATGTGTGTCCAAAATCCTGAGGAAAAGGGATTGTGGCATGGTAATTTCACCCCCTCTAGGGTGATTTCTCACTTTCTGTCTCTGTCGTTGTCTCTCTGGTGAGCACATGTGCCCTAAAACCCAAAAATCTCTCAAAAAAAAAAAAAAAAAAAAAGGTTTGTTTGGTTTTTTTTTAAAGATTTTTACTGGATCTAGTAGGTGGCATGGCAGTTAAGGCGCTGGAATTCCCACATGGCCAACCACATTTCAAGTCCCAGACCTGGCGGCTTGCTTTTTCACTTTCCCTCTCTATCTTTCTCTGGCAAAACTCATGTGAAAAATCATAATCATAATAAATAAATTAAAAAGAAAAGATGGGGAGTGAGAAATAATCCCCCAGGGGGTGTGGTCACACTGCAATCCCTCCTCCATTCTCTCACGATTTGGGGCACTCAATGCCCATGCACCTGGTGTGATTTTCAGGTTGCTGGGTCTGAGACCTACACCACAAAGTTGGCTATGTGGGATCCAGCACTTCCATGCCACCTACTGACCCACATTTTTTTTCTAACTGCCATAAGACATGTGCACTAGCTGGAAAGAGAAACGAAAGGAAAGAAGGAGAGAAACCCCCCCACAATGGGGCATACTTACACCGCAATTTCTCCTCCATTTTTCCATCCTGTTGGGATTTTGGACATGCACCCAGAGTGTTTTTCAAGCTGCCAGGTCCAAGATTCAAACCATAGACATGTGAGACCCAGCCACCTTAACCACTAGGCTATGGCTTGGCCATAATTTTTCAGCAATTTTTTTTCAGGTTTTTGCCATTGGCCACATGCGCTCACGAAAGACAGAGGGAAGGCAATGTGAGAAATCACTCCCTGCGAGGAATGGCCACATGGCAATCCTGTCTCCTCCATTGTTCTCTCAGGATTTTGGGCATATACACACATGTGCCTAGAGTGACTGTGAAACTGCATGATCCGGGGCTTGAACCATGGTCAGCCATGTGACAATTCAGCACCTTAACCACCATGCCACCTGATGGCCCAATTTTTCAATAATTTTTAGCAATTATAATTTTTTAAAAAACAACAAAACTTACAAGTGAACTTACAAGTAATATTTTTCAATATTTTAAATTATTTTATTTAACTTTATTTATTATGATTATTATTTTCCAGTTTGATCAGAGAGAGAAAGAGAAAGTGAGAAAGAAAGCCACCAGGTCCAGGACTGGAACCATGTTCGGTCAAGTGGGAGTCCAGCATCTTTAACCACCATGCCACCTCCTAGCCACAAATTTTTTTAAGAGAGATTTTTGCTATAGGGTACATGCGATCACCAGAGAGACAGAGACAGATAGAAAAACGAGAAACCATCCAGTGGGGTGATTTCACCACAATCCCTTCTCTCCATTCTCTTCTTGGGATCTTAGGCATGCACACATACGAGGTTTTTGTTATAGTGTGTGTGTGCTCACCAGAAAGAGACAGAAAGGGAGAAATCACACCCCAGAAAAATTCACCCCGCAGGGAGGATGGCTACACTGCAATCCCTTGTTCTCCATTCTCCTCTCAGGATCTTGGGCACGCGTGCACATGTGCCCAGCGTGAGGTTAAGCCACCAAACCCAGGACTTGAACTGAGGTCGACTACATGGGAGTCCAGCAACACAGCCATTATACCAAGTGCTGGTTCCTCAGCATGAATTTTAAACCACTGGGTCCAGGACTCGAACCACTGCCGACCATGTGGGAGTCCAACAACATAACCACTATGCTGTCTGCTGGTACTGGGTATAAACTTTTAAGTGCTAGATCACAAAAACATCACAAAAGCAACCAGCTGGTGACTCCTTCAAACATTTCATTTCTGGCACAATCTCAAGATTATGTCCCACAAAACTAATTTACAGACCTTGGATTTGACAAAGGACTATTAGACATGACACTGCAAGCATGAGGAAAAGAAAAATTAGATAGTCTTTGTCAAATCAAAAAGTTTTGTGTTTCAAAAGATACTTTAAAGAAAAAGACAGCCCGCTAGGGCCAGCAGATGGTGTGGTGGTTAAAG